TTTGATTACAACTACCAAATTTCAAGAAAATATTACAAAACCTACTACAGATTTTGAGAACCTATTACTTAAACCATATAAAAAAAAAGGATTAATTGCAAAAATATATCAAAGTTTACTTAACACCAATGCACTTAGGATGCACCACTACCAGCTCGCTTGGCACAAGGATCTCCAGCAATCTCTCACTTCAGACCAATGGGAAGAAATCTGGAAAATACAAATAAAGTCTACCAAATCGACATACATACAAGAAGCGTCAGCAAAAACTTTAATGCGTTGGTACTTAACCCCAACAAGGCTCACCCATATATATAAACATGCTTCTCCATTATGTTGGAAAGAATGTGGACAAAAAGCGGACTATATTCACGTATGGTGGAAATGTCCCGTAATACAGCAATTTTGGAAAATAATCTTAGAAAATATTAAAAGGTTTACAGGACTTGACATACCGTTAGAGCCAAAAATAATTTTGTTAAACCTATGGCCTTCTGATACACTCACTATGAGGGAAAAAACTCTAGTTTATGTTTTACTCACAGCGGCTAAACTGGTCATCGCGCAAAAATGGAAAGATAGACAACCTCCTACCATTACACAATGGATCCATAAAGTCTGGGATTTTTTCCTTTTAGAAAAATATTCCATTTACAATACTGAACAACAAAACGAATGTGAGTTTTATGATCCTTTAGATAAGTGGAATCCAGTGCTAGACAAGATCACTATAGACAAATTTAACTGGGAAACTATTTCTAAAGCGAAAAATCAACTTTTGATATATGGTACATAAATATATAATTTCTGTTTTTGAATGTTTTTATCTTTTCTGGTTATGTATGATTTTGACGCTATGGAAAACTATGACTTGTAATGTAAATTTACTTATTTGTAAAATTAAGAACCATTCAAGATATTATAGAAACCCTTGTATACCTTTACCTTCTCCACCTTTAACACTGTTTTACATTTTATTCTAAATAAACTTATTTTTTGGGGAAAAAAATATAGATGATGTTGCAGAGTTGTTTTCTGTTGCCCCAGAGGTTGGACCAGAACTAACGGGTTGAAATTAAATCAGAAGAGTTTCCGGCTAAACATTAGGAAGAACTTTCTGACAGAGTGGTTCCTCAGTAGAACAGGCTTCCTCAGGAGGTGGTGGGCTCTTCTTCTTTGGAAGTTTTTAAGCAGAGGCTAGATGGCCATCTGACAGCAATGCTGATTCTGTGAACTTAGGCAGATCATGAGAGGGAGGGCAGGAAGCGTTGCATCAATGTTTGGTTCGTGTGGCCCTTTTTTACACGCCCAGGGAAATGCCGATCGCCACAGGAAGCAATTTTCTCCAGGCCAGTTTGGCCAGGGATTGGGGGGGTGGGATTGTCATCTTCTGGGCATGGAACAGAGGTCACTGGGGGTATGGGGAGAGGTAATTGTGAATTTCCTTCATTGTGCAGGGGGTTGGACTAGATGACCCTGGAGGTCCCTTCCAACTCTATGATTCTATGACAGACCTCTGCCTGAGACTCTGAAGAGCCAGTGACAAGTCAGAGTGGGCAATACTGATCTTGATGAACCAGTGATCTGACTCGGTCTAAGGCAATATCATGTGTTCATTGATACGTCTTGAAACAAGAGTGGATTGTCTTTCCCAGCAGATTAATATCTTGAATAATTATTTTTCCAGTATCATGTAGCAAGCCAGGAGCAAAACAGGAATATGGAATCTCCTACTGTCTCCTAATGGTTTTCTATTACTCTGCCTGTTGTACCGCTCTGCCTCTCTGGGTTTCCATAACCACACATGATCTAGGTTTAATAGCAACCCCAGTGTTTCTAATATGAAGACAATGGTAGTAGAGAAATATTAAGAACAAGCCATACTGTTATAAATATATAGGGAAAGGAAAATGCTTATACTGCCTGCCAGGAAATCTGAGTTTGCCCCTGCAGCATACAAAAACCCACACCCACTCCTGGTTCCGGTTACAGTGTCTGATTTGCTGTGTGGCAACAGACAAGGCACTTAAGCTATGTGAAAAAATTTTTGATAGCGTACTCTAGATATGGCCAGACTGGCTTAATACCGATTCCATCACCCATGTAACCCCAGTTCATTCTATGAGGGGCACTACGGAGCTTTAATGGAGAATTATTAGCATCTTAACCAAACTAAAAATACAATAAATCTTTACTAGAAGATTCATGACCATTAAATGGGTATAAACATTTATACAAATGTGTGCAGATATGATCTTTGTTACCTCCTTGTAAGTATGGTCTTTATGACTGATCAGGCTGAGTTTGAGTTTGTGATCTTTTTGGGAGCCATTCCTTTTGACTGTGGGCACTATGATCTCCTGTCAACCTAACAGTTCGAAAGCAAGAAATTGCAAGTAGATAAATAGGTACCACTTTGGTGGGAAGGTAACAGCATTCCGTGCGCCTTGGTGTTTAGTCATGCCGGCCACATGACCACAGAAACGTCTTCGGACAGCACTGGCTCTTCGGCTTTGAAACAGAGATGAGCACCGCAACCCTAGAGTTGGACTCGACTGGCTTTCAAGCAAAGGAACCTTTACCTTTACCTTTTTACTATGATAAAAGTGAGATATGTAAGTACAGTAAAAATCTGGGGATCCAGCGTGACCAAATTGCTTTCTCTGTATCCTTGCACAGGAATTATACCTGCATTAATACATCAGCGGCTTGGAAGACGCCAACTGTTCCTTTTAATGTCTCTATCCTTTTTCGCCTCAACAAGTGGAACCCTGACAACCCCTCCCCCTCCTGCAAATGCAGCACAGAAGAGAAACTCACTATGCTACCTGAGTGCCCTTTGGGAGCTGGAGGACTTCCTCCCCCACAAGTAATGTGCAATGCTTGGTTGCCATTGTTCACTGGTCTGAAGCCCTGTGGTTACTATCTAATTGGTTTGCACTGCATAGAAAGACTGGGTAATAATTAATCACGCTGCGGTATCCATACAGAAAGTCACACCCCAGTTTTGCCTTTGCAGTAGTTTTACACATATTTGCATGATTTGCTGAACATGTTCAAATTTAAATTGATAGTTGATGTAGAATTTGGAATATTTTGGTGAAGACAGTGTTTATAGGGGACAGATAAGAGGAATGAATGGGGAGAGAAATGCCTAGGGCAAGCCAGACTAATACCGTTGACCCCTGAATTTCTCTTGAGGTGCCTCTCCTGAGTGCATGCAGATTTCTTCTAGCTCTTTCTTCATGAAAATAAAAGCAGAAATTTGCAAGAAGCTAAGATTCTGCTGTATACAGTGTAACATACATGGGCATGTGGCATAACCAGGCCACTGATATAGGGAGGAGTACATCACAAGCAAAGTGTCTATGCATGCCAAAGAACTGCCTGTTGAGCCTCACTACAGCAGCTTCTTAGTAAGAATAAGATTTAAAAGTTCTCCAATATCATCGTTATACAAAGCAAAGAACCACACTGTGGCTGATTCTGCATTGTTTTTTCCCTCCGTTGTTTTACAAAACCCACTTTGGAACAGAAATTCCCCTCTGCATTGCATGCCGCTTTCACTTTCTTTCATCATCGGATTTTATTGTACCTTCTGCATAGATTTCTGGCAGCTTTATGGTCAAATCGCCCTGTTTAAACACCTGCAATGCAACAGAGGCATAACAGGCCAGGAGACTATTATAAGTAGATCAGTGGGAACAAGGGCAAAAGCAGAACCACATCGTTTTGGTGCATTTTAGTAGCTACTAAAAAGAGGCTCTCAGTTACAGGGGTGAAAGTAAGAAAGTAAGAAAGTGGCTGAAGTGTTACATTCCGTCTTTTGCTTTGAGTCCTGTGGGAGAGATAGTATTGGTAAGAAATCTAAATTACATTCACCCCTGCCTAATTGCCTTTTGTTTCCAAGAGTTCACGCTGTGTTATAATTTTCTCTCTAGCAGTAGCAAAATATTATTTACAAATGAGAATTGTTAGAGGCTGGCATTTCTGTTCCAATCCCTAGGGCCCATCAAAATGATATCACTTGGCATTTGCTGAGCTGGCCTGGCTGTGCACCACAATCACCTTTGCCTCCACAGTCCTTAACCACCCACACATTTACCTTTCTGCTTAACAAGTGGCAAAGTGCCCTATTATTTACAGTTTCTTAATTAAGGGGGGCAGAGTTAATTAATGCCTGCAGCCAAATCAATTGACACAGCCTTTTCTCTGCTGGTTTCTTTGACAAAAAGCAAATGTAGTGGGTTGTTAAGTCTGGGTTTGAAATGTTTCCATTGTGCCTCTGCTTTCAAAGTCCAGGTCAGCATAGGAGATGAGATATGCGGGGCCATACTGTTCCTTCTTCTTAACTAAGCTTTCCTGAGTCACTGCTAACGTCTTCAGATCCTACCCTGCCAAATATTTTGTTAGTCTTTAAGGTGCTACTGGACTCTTGCTCTTTCCTACTACTACAGACAGACTAACATGGTTACTCGTCTTGATCTATCTTCCCTTCTTCTTGTACTTTTAAATTAGAAGTGGGCTTCATTTAGATTTGCTACAATCTTTAGGAGTGCTTACGAGAATGTTACTGAATTTCTTGAAAGAAAACAGGATAAACTTGGAATAAAATGATCCTAGTATTCAGTCCTACTTTGTCCAACAAGGTAATGGAATGGAATTTTAAAAAATGAATTTGATCCTTGGAGTTCTGAGTTCAAATTCACTCTCAGCTTGTATGGATTCACTGAAGAGTCTTTGGAGCATGTTGTTAACTTTTTGCCTCCATTTCCCCCATCTGTTCAATTGGAATAAATATTACCTTCCTCACAGAGCTGTTGTAGTAATGAATAAGAGAACTCTTGATATTAGGGTTGCCAACAGGCCTGGAGAAAAATGGCCTGTCCCTTTAATAAGGACAGTGCGTAGAAATGAGCAGCTGAAGCTTTTCTGAGCATGGAGGTAAATAACATGGAGGCAAATAACCCTCTATTAAAGGGACTGGACATTTTTCTTCAGGCCATTGGCAACTGTAATTGGTATTGAATGATTCTATAGCAGAGATTCATTTGCTAATACACTGGGTTCATGTTGGGCAGTTGCTGGACTGGGCATTATGATTTCCTTATCTGCTTCGGTAAAAAACAAGGGAATGCCAGAATACTCACCCCTTGGTGGCTGATAGTATTCTTTCAAGAAAACCATCAGGTATGGTGGCTGGCCACCTCACCTTTCTCTTAAGGAAAGTTAATGCTGCCACTTGGTGGTCAAATTCACACACTACATTAACATTTTTCATAAGTGCATTTGCTAGCTGCTGAATGGTTTCTGTGCACATGACTATGCTCTAAAATTACAAAAGATTTTATAAGCATGGCTCCCAGCCAGGAGATACTTTTGCTTGGGTTTTGCATGTCGCTTGCATTCATCTTTAGGGTGAGGCTCATCAAAGCTTAAAAATTGGTTGACAGCCTTCTGTGAAGCTGACCTAGCTTAAGGTTGTAAATCTCTGTTGTTTTATTGGATAGGAACTCAGGACACAGGAAAAGGCCAGCAGTTTCTACTGAAACTGTTAAGTGGAGACAGGTCACTTCTCTCGTTTCAGTGGGGGTAGCGATTTCTCACTTAAACCAGAACTGTAAAAAGATAATTTTTAAATTCATACAGCCTTTTCCTGCCTACGCCAGTCTGAATGGCCAATTTGTGATAATGGAAGTGAATGACTGAACTATTTTTAATTCTTTGTTTATTTGACTTTCAGAGGGTTCAGCGTACCACAGACATTCTTCAGGATCTCACACACCGAAACATTTCTGATTTTCTGTTGAAAACCTATCCCAGCCTCATAAGAAGCAGGTTTGGATCTTCCAGTTTATTAAATGAAGAGTCAGTTCACAGTCTGAACAAAATCTTGATATTGTATCTGTTCTGAATATGAAATCTACTGCTCAGTTCTCCATTCGTTAGTGCAGTGAAGGAAACCATTACTAATTGGCTGTAGAAAAAAATATTGCACAGTTCTTTGGTCTTTCGTATGGTCTTTTCCTTGTATTGGCACTTATGAAGTATTTTGCAGCAAACTGGAACTTGGAATCAGCATCTGTAATCCAGATGTTCAGGATACTAGCTGACCTCCATAAGCATGTAGATATTGAGAGCACACACAAACCCAGCCCACCACCCCATCTCCCCCTTGCATCCGCTAGTCATCCAAACAGGTTTTATCATTCTTGTACTGATGTCTTGGTCAACAAAAACAAATAAGCCCAACATCCCCAGATGTAGTTGTTGTTGTTGTTGCTGTTGTCATTATTATTATTTATTTTATTTATTAATCACCTTGTACCAGCTTACACTGAGCTCTGGGTGATGTACAAAAGGCAAAATGCCATGAAACAAAATACAAATTTTAAAATATCCATCAACAGTTAATAAGAGATTATTAATTCAGTTGATTCAGCAGTTCCCTTTTACATAGACTGTTGTGTCTGAATGAACCAGAGTTGGTTTGGAATGATAAAGAATGTTGAAATTTTAATGTTTTCTTTTCTCTGCTGCAGTTTGAAGAGCAAATACTGGGTTAATGAGCAAAGGTAGGAGGATGCTGTTCTAACATGCTATAGATCCTCTGTTGAATTTTGGAGTGTAAAGGCTTGGTCTCAAATGAAGGTGGACTGAATGACTGATAGCATGATATGGCTGGTCAGTTAGTGTTCTGCCTAAGGTTATAGGTGGTGGGTTACAGGCAGCTCCTGCAACATATTTATTTATTTATCTATTTTTAAACACTTTTACCCAGCCTTTCCTTGTGGTTTAAGGCAGCTTACATTAATAGTTAAAAAAACCCTATTCCAGTTAAAACCAAATAAAATCACAAACACCCCCAAACTCTCAGCATTAACATTCCTAATCTCTTCTTAACAAGTGCCCTAGAGTAAAATACTAGCATGATCAAAGGCTAGTATTAATTCCTAATTTATGCAAAGGATACTATTGTGCAATTTTAGTGAAAATACAGTATTACATTCGTATTTTTTTTTCTTATAGGAACATATCCAGTGTTTCTGATAATATTATAATACAGTATAATTTTTCACAACATCCTTATTCACTGTTGAAATACTTTTTAAAAATGGAATTGTCATTGTTGTAGTTTTTTACTACAGAAACTGGGAAACCTGTAGCAGTGAATTCTTGTAGCCACATCCTTACATGATAGACTCATACCATTCTGTAATATATTTTCATATCACCAAGTCGTTCCCCCCCCCCTTGATTACTGTTCGGTACATATTCTGTGATGCAAAAATTAATCTTGAGATCTCTGAAACAAAAAAATTACTAAGCTCAAAATCAATAAAATATATTTGTGCCTGACTTCTGCTTCCTTTTTAAAACAGAGGCACATATATTCCTGAGTGTTTAATACGTTCATAATTTCTTAAAAGCGCAATGCAGTACTCCATAGCTGAAGAATGATGATGTGGTTTTGTGTTTAGATATGGAGGAATTTCCATTGGAGGAAAACTCCCAGTCCTTGATGTCACTGGAGAGCAAATTGTTCGTTTTCTCAGAGATCTTGGTCAAATGATGAACATAACAGCGGTAAGCAAGGATTGTTCGTGGAAGACAGATCCATCATTGATTACTAGCCACAATGGGAATTTCTTGTTTTCTGTGACCCTCTCAATACCAGTGTTGGGAAGCAGCATCAGAACTTGCCTCTGTGCCCTGTATGTTGGCCCACCGTGGGCTGGTGGGTCACGTTTGAAATAGGATGCTGGACCAAATGGACCACTGGTCTGATTCAGCTGGGCACCTCTTACATTCTTGTGTTGAGTGTCCAATTTTGTTTTGATGGAGGAGCTCTAAGCAATTTCTTCATACCAAAAGTATTGACTTAGTTATGTTCACATGGCATTTTAGTCTTTGCTTTCTGTTATTTAGGGGGAAGCATCAATAGCTGTCGCTGAAGAAATGTCAGATTTTCTAAAACACATGGAAACTGAAGACAATATTAAGGTATTAAGAACTATTCTTATATTTTTGAAGCCAAGTATCCTGGAGAATTTGGTTGATAAGCGACACCAGCAAGACAGAAAAAAGCACTCCTTGCTTGCTTTATTGTACTGTCTTCAGCTAAAAAATAATATTTTGCTAGAAGAAAGCTTGAGAGATATGAACAAGGATTGCACATGTCATTGATATGACAGTTTTAGGAGATGAAATATGAGAATTCTCTGCAAGTTTTTTCATCTTATGAGACCTGGTATCATCTGTCCCCTACACTGAAAACAATTCTGCCTTTCTACAGACTGTTCAGTTCAGTGCCTTTATTGGCATAGATCTACAGACTGAATAGCCCCATCACGTTCTTCCAGCTTGTCTGGAATAGGTTTTCATGTCAAGAATGATATGCTGTCCCATTTCATGTCAGATATTTTACGGTGAAGATACTGCAATAAAGCAAATACCTCTAAGTATATTTCTATTTATATAGCCTTATAAGCAAGCAAGAAACAACAGAAATAAGCAGACATTGTGTGTGCCGTAGACTACATCAGGTTGCTAATGTGGTTCTTGCTCTTCTAGGTATGGTTTAACAACAAAGGTTGGCATGCTATGGTCAGTTTTCTCAACATCGCCAACAATGCAGTCCTACGAGCCAATCTCCATAAAAGCAAGGACCCTGAGGAATATGGGATAACTGCCATCAACCACCCCCTGAATCTCACAAAGGAGCAGCTCTCTGAAGTCACTGTGTAAGCAGCACAAATTTGCCTTTCTTATTTTCTGGGTATAATTAAGGTGTATTGTTTGTGTTGCAGCCTCATCTGTTCTATTCACTTTTGCTCACCTTCAGTAATGGCTTTGTGTTTTGAGCGACAGGTTTGTGTCTTCCCCTGGGTAGCTTACTTGTTGAGCAACATTTCTTGAATGTTATGTTTCTATGGGGTAGAACTAACATTACAGAGTAAACATCAGTCTTCCTCCTAAGGCAGTGGCTGGAAGGGATACTTGTAGGTGAGAAATGGTAGGGGAGGAGGGAGTGCCAAACTTTCCTTCCCTACATGTCCCCCATCCTTGGCAGTTCCTAATTTTTTCCCTCACCAAGCTCCAGACCCAGAAATTATCTCAGCTGGGAAATTTATGTCATTGGCCATCCTTGCTCATGGACTGTCCCTCTGCCTTCTGTTTTTCCTGTTGTAGGCTGACCACCTCGGTAGATGCTGTTGTTTCCATCTGTGTGATTTTTGCCATGTCCTTCATCCCAGCAAGCTTTGTTTTATACCTCATCCAAGAAGAAGTTACGAAAGCCAAGCATCTCCAGTTTGTCAGTGGTGTGAGCCCTGTCGTCTACTGGTCCACCAATTTCCTTTGGGACATAGTAAGTAGATTCTAAAAGTGATGCAGGAAAAAATTGTGTGTTGTTGGAATGAATCCAACACATTCAATAAAACATCATCATAAAGCCTCACCAGAATGGTTTGTGCCAACAAATTCCCCAGCTCTTTTTCATTAATTGGAACTAGCCCTGATCCCTGTGACCTGTAATTTATCTTGAAGCAGTATCACCTTCTTTTTGTACTTTACACAGCTGAACATACAAAGCTGCCTTGTTCCATCTAATCCACATCTCCACTGGGCAGTGGCTTTCCAGGTCTCAGGTCTTTAACTGGAGAGGCAGGAACTGAACATGTATTCAACTGCTTCACCTATTACATAATGCCATCTTCCCTCCATTACTTACCTAAGTAATGCCTCCTAAGAATCTACATTTTTCAAAACTTCATACATTCCATTATAGACAAAATATGCTAATGGGACTATTTCTCTTTTTTTGCTAAGGTTTATCTTCTAGATTGCTTTCTAATTCATTTTAAGAGAGGCTATTTCCGAATGTATCCTTTTATTTGGGTGTTGTCATAACTTAAGGCAAGATATTTTGGAGAAGGTTAGAAGTGTTTTAAATATGTAAATACCTTAAATGGATTCTTTTCTTTCTCCTAAAGCTAGTGATTAAGTGTTCACTACTGTTTCATAAAAGATAAGTTGGTCTTTTGCTCTTTCTTTCTCCATGCTATTGACTCACTTCTCAGAAGTGAGAAACATGTACTTGGTTCTAGTGAGCTTTTTCACTCAAGTTTACATAATTCCCTGTCTCATTACAACCCCCCATTGCACATGCCTTTTGAACACCAGGTCCCACGATCCCCAGCACTTCATCTTTGGTGATCAAAGGTGACCCTCTCCTCTGCTCAGCCCCCCCCCAACCTGAAACCAACCTTGCTCTTGTAGGTAACTTTTTAGTTCCTCCATGGGCAAGCCATGCTACATCCTGAAAAATACTAGAAAAAAATATGGTTCCAAATGGATTCAGACTTGGTTTTCATTGGCCTTTCCCTTTTCTTTCTCTTTTCTGTGCTAGGCGAATTATACTGTGAGTGCTGCCCTAGTAATTGCAATATTCATTGGTTTCGACAAGAAAGCTTACACATCACCAAGCAACCTCCCTGCACTTATAGCTTTGCTACTTCTATATGGGTAAGTAATCTCAATGTTTCATTAATCTATATATCTAATAGCCAAGTTGCCCCCTCCGTGCGGATATCTAAATCCACGCATCGGGGGCACCTGGGGGGGCAGGGAGAGTTTCCTGCACATTTGGGGTGATCCCCAAATGTGCACAAAAATCTAAAAAGTTGAAATTACCAAAAATTGCTGCATTGTGTCAAGCAAATGGTGTGGCTTGAAGGATTCTGTACTGATACCAGTCACACTTAATTGCAGACAACTGTGGCACAATTGTATCAATAATTGTGCCAGCCTGTTGTTTGGGTCTCTTGCCATCTAGCTCAGACAAATGATGTGGAGAAGATACCTTGGCTGTGGCAGACCAACAGTTGTTCAATCACCCTAGGAAACATTAACATGCTCATGCAGTTGGGCATAACAAAGCTTTGTGTATTGATTAGATTCTTCATCTGAAAGACATCAGTAAAATGTAGAATGCTGAAGCATGGGCCAATGCATTAGTGGAAATAAAGCCAGATGAAAGATGCTTTCTCACCTATTTTGACATGCTTCAGAAAAAGTTTCTGCCATCTGAACCTCACTTTGGTCATCACAGGAAAACAATGCAGGGGATTACTGATTTTTTTCTCCTGGCTTTTGCCTGCAGATGGGCCATAATTCCAATGATGTACCCAGCTTCCTGCTTCTTCAGTATTCCCAGCACCGCTTACGTTGCCTTGTCTTGCATTAACCTCTTCATTGGTATCAACAGTAGTGCCATTACATTTATCCTGGAGCTCTTTGAAAACAATCCAGTAAGTGGCTCTTTCTCATAGGGTTTAATATCACAAACGTACTTTACTTTTAGTCACAATCCAGAGAGTGGTTTCTGCTGATGCACGTTCAATCAGTTTTAAAAAGCAAACAAGAGTTTGGTAGAAATAACCTGGGGGCTCCCAAGGGACCAAGACAGAGGGAACAGTTTGGAAATCCCTTCCCCATAACCTCCCTCTTCTGGATTCTGTGATGTCTCAAAAGAGCTGTGAGCTCTTAAAAGGTTGACCCCCAGCCTGTTTTCAGTTTAATTCAGCTGCCCTCAGTATTCCATCCCATTCCATCCCATTGCTCAACATTAAGTTCTCATCAGGCTGGGTTTTCCTTTTTCTTTGGGTTAATTTTCAAAGTCATATTTGTCTGCATACATGGGAGGCCCCTAAGAATGTGGAGACCCAACCTTGTTCTTGTTGTTCAGTCGCACAGTCGAGTCCGACTCTTCGCGTCCCCATGGACAAGACCTTGTTCTTAGGTAGCCTGATTTTTCAGTTTTCATCATCCATACAGGAGCCATACAGTGATGGGCTGGGAACCCACAAATTATCAATAGGAAGAAGGGATAAACTGGAAATCTGCCCTCCCCTATAATATTCTGTGAACTTTCTGGGTCTTGATCTGTTAGATTCCACACCCCTTTCCCCTTTAACTGACATTTAGCTGTTCTCAACATTCTTTCTCTTTTAGAGAATTTTCAGCCCTAATTGCGCTTTTTTTTAAGGGTTTCTCTCTTTTGGTTAATTTGTCTTTTTTTTTTCCCATATACCAAGGGAACCCTGCTTGGTCTGTGGGTTCTGTGGCATTTGTCACTCACACAGGGGGCAGCCAGTTAATTGTTACATAGTTGTAACAGACAGCAGTGAAATTCTTAGAAAGCATTTGGTATGCCTGCACTTCTGGTCTTTGGCATAAAATATTATTTAAACTCTGAACATTATGAAACGATGCAGAAGGAGCAGCCCCCTTTGTAGGTCACTTCACCTCTCCTTTCTTCAACTGCACAGGAGAATAAAGCTCCTTCTGCCATCTAGATGTCCTGTGCCTCTTTTGCATACTTTATTTGTATGGTCCATATGCAGAGCAACCAATACATGAGTTTTCACTCGTTATTGAAAGCTAGTAGGTAAAGAGTTGTGTGGTCTTTCAGTTTAACTTCAGAATGGTTCCATAAATTATAAAGTCTCTGAGTTTTATTAGCACATATGTTTTCTTGTCTGATGCAGTCTTTGCTGAAATTCAACAAAACACTGAAAAACATTCTCCTAGTATTTCCTCATTTCTGCCTGGGCCGTGGACTCATTGACCTGGCTATGAACCAGGCAGTAACTGATGTGTATGCTCGATTTGGTAAGTACAATAACAATGGAATTATTATTGCGTGCCTTGTAACTAAGTATATGATAGATTGACTTCTATAGTCAGTCTTTCCGCAATCTAGAGAAAGACGTTTCCAATAACTTTGAAGAAGAGTTGTTTTTTTATACCTTGCTTTTCTCTACCCTAAGAAGTCTCAAAGTGGCTTACAATCACCTTTCCTTCCTCTCCCCACAACAGGCATCTTGTGAGGTAGGTGGGGCTGAGAGAGTTCTGAGAGAACTGTGACTGACCCAAGGTCACCCAGCAGGCTGCATGTGGAGCAGTGGGGTATCAAACCCGGTTCTCCAGATTAGAGTCCACCACTCCTAACTCCTACACCACACTTTACACCTCCCCTTTTTTTGATGTGACAGATGTAGGAGACAACTAGTTTAGAAACTTCCTGCACAAGTTAAGAAATCAAATGAATACAGCACCCCAGGGAGGGCTGTGGCTTATTGGAAGAGTACATACATTGTATGCAGAAGATCCCAGTCCCAGGTATCTCCGGCGAAAAGATCTTGAGTAGCAGGCATTCAGAAAGACCTTTCTCTGCCTGAGAACCTAGAGAACCATTGCCATAGTCAGAGTAAAGAATATAGAACTATGTGAATTGAAGGCCTTATTTGATATGCTGGATTCAAATATTCTCACTGTAGATGAGATGGTAACCCTGTTCCTGGACTGTGCTGCTTCATTACAGACTGCAGCTGCAGAATCACATGGTGGAAGTCCTTCCATACACAAAATAACATGCATATAAAGAGCTAGATGTCAGGAAGAGCAGTTACAATTTTTTTTTGGGGGGGGGTATGGTGTAACATACCTCCACACCTGGTACAGTTCAGGAAAAACAGTTATTATCTCATTTGCTCTATAAAGCTGTATCTATAAAAATCACATTAAGAATAAATTTCTTCTGCCTTGCACTCCTCTTTGTAATATTTATTTAGCCTCAACAATGAGAAGTACTGCGTAGGTGACATATTTCTTGCCCAGATCTCAATTATCCTAACAAATATGAGGTAGACGGAAAAGGGACAGTTGGGTAAGAGGTCAGGGACTGAGAATGATGGTGTGGGTGGTACAGAAACCTGAGAAGTCCCTTCAACATGAAGGCAGGGTGGATTTATTTTCTGTAGTGATTTCTTTCTTTCTTTTTTTAATATACTTTTTATTGGGTTTTCACAAAAATACGCATACCTATAATTTAAATACATATCCAATGAACTCCCTATACTTCAAATATATTCTGAACAGCAACATGTCAACCAAGCCTAATTACATTTTTCTTCTAATCAATCACTGAATAATATAATTTTTGGGTACATACATCCATTAGTAATATTTCTTTAAGATTCAACTTGCTCATTTACGAATTTGTAGTCTTTATAAATATTAAGTCAACATACAGTGAGGAAGTTCACTGTATGATGATTCTGATTCATGTGGGTGTACTGCTGCACATTATAACTGTAGGATGGAAAATCCACCATGGAGGTGCCATTTTCAGCAACATCCACACTGTAAGAGTCATAGGTAGACTGGTTCTCAGAGCTTCACCCCCCAACATATACAAAGCCTCAATATGTGTAGCAGCATTTGCACATCGTTTTCCTTTTACCTTGCCTCTTCTTTTTTCATCCTCTCCTGCCTTAATTAGTTTCTCTGTATCACAGTTTAAATTTTAAGCTCTTTAGTGGAGGATTCTAGAAAATGTTATATACATTCAGGGAGAGACAACCTTAGAGATGAGCCAGATGGGCTGGGAAATAAAGTAGCAGATGCCTGGACTATCCTTTGTTTGGCTTTTTCCTTCCCTTTCTATATTTGAGTTAATATAATTGAACTTCTCAAAAGGTACATAGTTAAGCATCCTTACTAGAAGATTTCAGAAAATTGGTAGTGGTTGCTTAGTAATTATGAAATTAATTGTATCTTTGCATCTGAGGTCAATTATTTTAATGGCTTTTGTTCTGATGAGCAAGACTTTATCTAGTTAGTAAATTCAGCTTGATTTTTGGTTGGTTTCACCTCTTAAGGAGAAGAGCATGCTCTGAATCCGTTTCACTGGGATTTTGCTGGAAAGAACATGGTTGCTCTGGCAGTGCAAGGGGTTGCTTATTTTCTTCTGAATCTTCTGTTGCAACATAATTTCTTCTCTACAGGATGGTATGTAGAAAAATCCTCAGACTTCCAACTATGAAATTAATTAGTGTTAACATGTAGAAATGTCTGACTGGGGAAGTACCACATATGTGTTTTTTAAAATGTGCTGCTCTTCAGACATTATTAACTCATGCACTCTGGTTTTGTCAGGCTGCCTCAAAATACCCTGATGCCTATTGCGGATGAAGATGAGGGTGTTGCAGAAGAAAGACAACGAATAATGAATGGAGGCAGCAAAACAGATATCTTGACATTACAAGGGTTGACCAAGGTAATCTTCCAGGAATGATAAAATATCCATTTCCCTTAACGTCCACTTGGGCAGGAAAGACAGTATGCTAAATACCAAACATCTGCTTTTTTGCTTTGTTTTATTTTTTGTCAGTTTATTTTTCTGGCTAATATGTAGATTCAGCATTTTTGAGACATCCTATTAAAATTACAAGTAAGCCAGTGTCAGGACCTCCCCAAGTCAAGCCCTACGGTGTGGCAAGTAGGCAGATGGCTGGCAAGGATCTTTATCTGAGGCCTGACAGCTGTTAATGAAACATTCCCCATGACCAGCTTCTGCCTCTTGCAAGCTACCTGGATAGCTCCTCTGCTTCCTGGTACTTAGACTCTCTGACCCAGAGTTTTGTCTCCACTTTGAATTCCGAACTGGAGCACTTTGAGGTGGGGACAATGTCATCCTCTAATAATGTTGTTTCCAGGTTTCCCCCCCCCCCCATTTTGCTGCAATCTTTTCAGAAAGGGCACAGTCCAACTACATTGGTAAACCATCCAGATATGAACGTTTGCATTTTTGGAGGTCTCATACTGGCACTATTTTTCTTATATAAATTTTTGTGGCCATCATTTCCCCCCTTGCGTCAATGGAAGGCTTTTCTTTTTAATTGTTAATTGCTATAACAATTGTCATTTAAAAAAAAAAAGGTTTCCAGTGGTACAATGGGGGAAAATGCATGGGAAATAGCAGCAGTGATTTATTATTATTTTTTAAAATGTCATCTTATTCTAGATCTATAAAGGTAGATGCACACCAGCTGTGGATCAACTATGTGTTGGCATTCGTCCTGGAGAGGTGGGTTGTATATCAGCTTTGTAATGCATTTTGAAACAATTCTCATCTGATAATCCTCTGAATTAATAATTGTTCACTAATTTATAATTCAGTGCTTTGGTCTCCTGGGAGTGAATGGAGCTGGCAAGACAACAACATTCAGAATGCTGACTGGGGACACTAAAGCAACCTCTGGCGATGCTACAGTGGCAGGCTACAGGTGGGTTCCTGGGAAATTCCAGAATGCTCCGCTTTAGTCAATAGTAGACCATATCCCTGGGATTAAGACCCATTGAGCTCAGTAAGACTTACTTCTGAATAAGCATGCACCATATCACACTTCCTTCCACTGTGCTACCATTACCATTGTGTGTGGGGGGGTAATGTGGCTCCGTGGAAGAGCCTTTGCACTGCGTGCAAAATGTCCCAGGTACAATCACTGGCATCTACAGGTAAAAGGACCAGGTAGCAGGTGATGTGAAAGAGCTTTGCCTGAGACCTTGGAGACCCGCTGCCAGTCTGAGTAGAGAGTACCGACCTTGATGGAACGATGGTCTGATTCAGTATAAGGCGGCTTCATGTGTCCACTCTGGGCTGAACCTGCTGCGGTCTCTTTTTCCATCTACAGGGGTAAAATTGGATAGTGGAGGCCAGATTGTCCAAATGAGTGAAGTGTCTCTTGTACCAGAATGTTGTTTCTCTGTGGGGCGGTTGCTTACATAATTGTCATTTGGTATTAAACTAGAAACACAAAATCCCCTTCAACCAGTACTCTTAATGAAACATCTTCTTTACTGAGATTGTTGGGTCAGTATTTTAAAAGCATGTTCTTAAATGTGATTTTCCTGACTATTGGGCTGCAGACCTGGGCCAGTTCACTGAGATTCATGCCTTTCTTATATATTATATTTTATTTATTCATTTTAAATATTTCCTGTGCTGCCTTTTCTCCAGTTTGGGATCCAGGGCAGCTTACAAATCATCAGCTAATAGCGAAATATTACAAGAATATTTTAAAATACATTAAAAACTTAAAAAAAAAACTTGTGCTCAAGGAATAAGAGCTTCCTGGTGATCCCCGGCCTAAGAGAGATCTGGCTGTCCTCAACTAGGGCCAGGGCTTTTTCAACCCTGCCCCCTGCCTGGTGGAACTCTCTGCCGGAAGACATCCATGCCCTGTGGGAGTTACTACCTCTCCGCAGGGCATGCAAGGCAGAGATGTTCCACCAGGCATTCAGTTGAGACGCTATGACACCTGGTACTCTCACATACTCCCCATTCCTCTTAACCCCTCCCTCCAGGAGGCTGGGGGGTGAAATCTCTTTTTTCCACCATCTTGGAATGTATATTGTTTTATTGATATGTTTCTAGGTAATTTTAACGCTGGTTTTGAATCAAATTATTTATTGTATTCTGCCCTGTTGTAAGCCTCCCTGAGCTCTGATCTAATTTAATAAGTCTAATTTGATAAATAAATCAAATCTAATTTAATAAATAAATACATAAACAAAACCTGAACATAAAACTGCAGAGGAGCAGCAGAACAGCTAGACTGTAGGAGGTGGGTAAGAACAGAGAAAAAAAGAAAAGGGGAAATTTTAAAAAACTCAGAAAGAATCCCTTAGTTCTCAAAAGCCTTGCCTAAGAGGGCACACTTTGCCTGAAGCCTAAAAGGCTCTGGACAGATCTCCCCAGTTCTATAAGTAGGATGCATGCGGGAGGAGGTGGTCCATATCTTACCTTTCTTCCTAAATGCATTTTAAAACTCACATTGGTGTAATCATTTTATGTGGAACATCTATAGGTCATTCAATGCAATACAACTTACATTTAGCTGTGTCGCATGGAAGGACAGCCAAAGCTTGTATATCTACTTATGTACATTTACTTGGATACAGTGCTGTAGGAGGGACATGGAGGAGGGCTGCTTCACTCAGAGTGGAAATCCGGTTGAAAATTTACCAAATTCTGTGATGTTGTGTGGTTATATGTCATAAACATACACCATGACCATATCTAGAAGTCAGGACCAGTGGCTTCCACAATATGTCACCACAGTGCATAAACTTTTCAACAACAGAAAATGTAGCCATCTCCCACTATGATGCAGTAGCAGCAGGCCGATCTCTGTACCTTTAATATGTTTACTTTGGTTGTAATGTACAAAGGATCTCCATCAATGCTCTGAAAAGCAGGGTGTTCGAATGATCAAGAACTGCTTAGTGGGCTTTTGTTTTATTTGATGTCCAAAATGAGTCAAAAATAAGATTGACCTTGTCCATTCTATTTATTGTTGTTGTGAATGTTTGCTTCTGCAATTTGTTGGTGAGTCATGTTGGTTAAGATCTGGCTACACTTTAAGTGAGGCTAGACTTTAATGTGTTATTGTATTCATGCACATTCATGCCTTAAGGAAGGTTTTCTGAAGAGTTAGGATAGAAATACTCCAAATAAATAAATGCATAACTTGGAAGGATCCTGTTCTCTCTCCCACAGCTAATGATTGAACGTTAATGCAGTTTCATAAGTTAATCTTTTGCTGTTCCTTTCCCCAGCATATTGACTCATCTCTCTGATGTTCATCAAAACATGGGCTACTGCCCACAGTTTGATGCTATTGATGATCTGCTCACAGGAAGAGAGCACTTGTACCTTTATGCCCGTCTGCGTGGTGTCCCAGAAGCAGAAGTGAAAAGGGTAATTTTTTCTTCAGCAGTTACACTTCTTCTTCCTCTTCTTCTTTTGAGCATGACTCTTTTTTGACATTAAAGAACTAATTTTCTTTGGGCTCCATCCAAAATGTACAAGGGGCTCAGTGTGCTCCTAGCACATAAATGGTTCTTTGGTGCATGAGGTGGAATTTCACATTTGTTTGTCTTTAAGAGACAGGTAGCCAATCCAGAATGCCAGACGTCACGATTGTGTACGTCACGATTGTGCCCAGGCCAGTCTACACAGGATGCCCATCTACACAGAATGTTTTCCTTGCAATTTCCCAGTGGGATTCTCTGTAGATTTCCATGCATGAAAAGCAAGAGCAAGGTACATATGCTGTTTCTTCCATGTTTGACAGGAACCCATAGGATGTTGTGAATATGAGGTAGCTGTTGCAGACATAACCCCCATAACTTCACTAAACCGGTGGGAATGCCTTGTCATTGTAAAGTTCACTTAAGACCACTAATTCACACAGCAGATAACATATACTTATTCATTTTATTTTACTTTATGCCCTGCTTTTCTTCCCAGTGGGGATCCAAAGTGGCCTACATTGTTCTGTTCTCCTCCACTCCACCCTCACAACAGCCCTATGAGGTACATTATGCTGGGAGTGAGTGACTGGTCCAAGGTTACTCAGCAAGCTTCCGTGGCATAGCTTGAATCTGGGTTGCCCAGATCCTAGTCTGACGCTCCAGTCACTACACCATGCTGGTTCTCCTATAGGCACTATGAATTCCCCAACAGGTCCTATGAATTTTCCTAGAAAAGACAGTCATGGAAGAACTTCATATGGAAATTAGGAAATCAAGTCTGCAAGACATGAGGAACAGTTCACAGCTGTAATGTGCTGTGGAAAGTGATTTCCTCCCTGTTAACAGTTGAGCTTTGAGGGATCTATATATATATATTGATTTTCAGAATATTACTTTATGTTTTACCATTTTACCACAAAAGTGAAGATGGTGTTCTGTCATTGCTGGAATTTCTTATGCTGTCTTTGTGCAGTCTTATGTTGAAGAGGGACATAACATTTGTAACTCTGGCAGGCTGGCTTGGAAGCACCATCCTATTTGTTACCAATGTACTGTTTCCTCTTGAAGGGAAGCACTTTGGTAAATTTTCAGCAGAAGCTGTTTGCAGACAGCACTGGTTAGCTAGGCCCTGACCAGTCACTTACCCTTCTCCATCTTCATCAACTAGATCTGCAGCTGTTGTTAAAATATTTACATTGTCATCATCACCGTCAACCTCAAATTGAAGGTGTGAAGTGTGTGTGTGTGTGTGTGTGTGTGTGTAGTGATTTTTAAAGAAATTTTAAAGGCAGCTTGTCAGTCCAAAGCATCTGATGGTGGATCTAATGTTCAGTTTGTTAGAATATATGTGTATCATGCAGATTGCAAAGGCAGAAGAGGGGTGAAGAAGAACCCAGTGTGACTTCTCTTTAAATATCATATCTATCTCCAACTGAAGGTCCTATCTAGACAGTTAATAGCCCAATAAATGTGTGATGGTTATATGTGCAAACTATAATCCTTAGTTGCTGGAAAGATTTCAGTTTCTCCCCAGCTGGAGCATCCATCCAGGAACATGTTCCTCACATTCAGTGTGTGGAATGTATTCCATCTGTTACTCCAGTAATGAAGAAACACATGCCCATGTCCTTAAACTTTCAAAGATTTTTTTTTCAATTTTCCAGAGACCAAGGAATGCTCTTATGGCCCTTTAAAAACAAAAAAAGGTATTTGTTGCAGACAGCACAAGGCATTCATTCCCCCTTACCCAGCAACAATGTCCCACCATATTGTGAACCTTTTGCTTGAGGAATGGAAACATCTAGTCTGGCTGCGTACTCTCTCCCTTCCCTGACTTCTGCAGAAAAAGAAGTGTGCATGGGTAGGAGTGATGGACAGGTTAATTTCCACCACTCCCTGAGAGCAACCAGTGGGAGCGGATGGAACATTGTTTAGAGGGACAGTTGAAAACGGCCATCAGTTGAGAGAAAGTTAGACTGTCACTGGCTGCGTGAAGTGAGTAGCAGAACAGCTTACCCAGACTGGGAAAAGGTCAACTTGTAACAAAGAATCCCAAATGCCTGAATAGGGAAATATTTCAAAAGTTCAACCGAAAAGAAACTTTGTAACCTCTGCCTGATTCACTCCAGCATTATGTTCAAACCACAAATAAAAGCTAACTCCTTGCTTGTTTAACCTGTGGGCTGGATGTGCATTGCCTCTGGAAGAAGCACACACACACAAGTTAAGATCTTGGCCTATATTTTTAGCCAAATTGCCTTGATTTATTAATAACAGTGAGGAATAAGAATATTAAATGGCAATAGGCTTAATTATGGGACCAATAACCTGTGCATATGGGAGTCCAACTTATCCAGATCCCAGAAACAGATGCAGAGGCTAGATCTTATAAAGCAATGATCTCTTTTACTGAAGGATTTTCACATATACAAACATAAAATCAAGCATTCACACACACAATACAGAACTAAGAATTTAGATAGAAAGGTACAGAGACGGTTGCATTAGCAGGAAATATTGCTGGTGGGTGATACTTTACCTCTCTGAAACGGCGAGACAATCCTGCAGTGAAAAAGAGGGTGACATTAAGGGAAGGGATCGTATGTCGACTGGCAATGCACGTGGAAGATTCCAAACAGTGCTAGAATGGAACCAGTAAGGTAGGGTGGGGTTAGGAGGATGAGAAGAGAGACAGAGAGCAATGGGGTGATGCTCTATTTTTATATCCTAAAGTGCCTGGAAGCTGATGCTTCACTAGTCATGTAGCCCCCAGGAAGTACTAGACAAATCCAGTTGCTAATACCCAGGAGAATGGGATTAATTGTTGCGCAATTGCAGTAATGGTGACAGAAAGACAAAGGAAAGAAAAGAATAGTAATGTCTCAGCTCCATTGACGGTAGTTGGTCTCAATAACTTGATAATCGACAGCTGCATTATCAGGATGGGCGGCTTGACGTGACAGTGGCCTGATCCTATCATGGAATCAGTTCTTTTGTTTAGGACAAAGCTGAGTATGTGCTACACCTGGAGGTGTCAATATGTGGGGGAGGGGAATGTGCCTGCGTGATGGAGAAGAGAGCTTTCCCATGGCATCTGAGAGGGAGGTCCAGGTTCCCTTTGCAGAGCAAGGCTTCTCTTTAGTGGACTGCTGCTGATTCCGTGTGTTTTTAGGGTCAGGGAGGCTGGTTTGCCTTTTTGGCATCTGGCTGCAGGGTTGCAGGAGTGAGAGGCATCGGGGCTTCCATGGGTCCATGCCTGGGTAGGTAGGCTGCTGCAAGACAAAGTTTCCCTTGCCTGCGCACATGCCAGCATTCCAGTAGGGTGGTGCAGTCTCATGGCTACTGTCCACTCCATTGCCCTGGCACACTATTTGCACAGTCCATCTTTATAGTCATCATTCATAATCTTTATAGATGCTGTATGCGGTGACAGCATGGCAACAATATATAAGTATATATTAGAACAAGTGGAGACCCACAAGAAACTTGCAGATTTGTTATCCCATTCCTCACACCTTTGCTTCCTCCCCTCTCCCCCTACCTCTCTCACACTCACTCTTTCTCCCTTCTCCCCCCTCTCCCCCCTTTCTTTCTATCTCGCCTCCATACGTGTTACCTCCAGGGCCGGTGTGTCCATATAGCCAAGTTAGGTGGTTGCCTAGAGTGCCATCTTCAGGTGAGCACTAGCCTGCCGATGAACCGCCCCTCTCTCGCCAGCCACAAAGCCCTGCTCCGCTCACAGCAGAGGCCTAGTACTTGAAACAAACAAACGCAAATGTGTTCCCCCTGCAAGGCCGGGGAGGCGTCCAAGTCTCCCCAGCCGCCACGTGACATCAGCGGCAAACCTGCTGCTGCTTCTCCCTCCGCCGGTGGCAAAGGGCCTTCCGTCCGTCCCCTGAGGAGTGCACCCTCCGCACCCTTGGAGTCCTGCCCTCAGCGGGATCTGTGTCGCCGTTTGGCCGTGCTGTGACATCCCTCAAATAGCGGCTTGAGGCAGGTGGTTCTTCTGAGGCAGCTGGGGCTGTGCGCTGCCCACAACTTCCCTTTCCTTTGGCTCAGGCAGCACTTCAGAACCAGGTCAGTGGCAGGGCACCCCAGTCTGGCCGGACCCTTTCCCTTAGACATGGCAAAGAGGCCTTCACTGCAGGGATGACGGCAGCAGCAACCCCTGTGCCCTGGGGGTTGTTCTGGTTACTTCTTCTCCTGCCCGTTTCCGTGATGCCTTCCAAGCTGAACATCCCCAAAGTGCTTCTGCCGTTTACTCCAAGCACCAGAATTAACTTCACCCTGGAAGCAAGCGAGAGCTGCTACCGGCCACTAGTGAGTGAGGGCAGGGAGGACCTTTTGGAACCTGGTGCGCGATTGAGGCACATGGCGCAAGTGTGGCAGTAGCTCGCATTTGGGTGTGCAGCACGTGGGCAAGGAAGCCAGGATGGGGCCCTGGAAAATAAACCTTCTTAGGGCTTCCATGGGTCCATGTCTGGGTAGGCAGGCTGCTACAAGACAAGGTTTCCCTTGCCTGTGCACATGCCAGCATTCCAGTAGGGTGGTGCAGTCTCATGGCTACTGTCCACTCCATTGCCCTGGCACACTATTTGCACAGTCCATCTTTATAGTCATCATTCATAATCTTTATAGATGCTGTATGCGGTGACAGCATGGCAACAATATATAAGTATATATTAGAACAAGTGGAGACCCACAAGAAACTTGCAGATTTGTTATCCCATTCCTCACACCTTTGCTTCCTCCCCTCTCCCCCTACCTCTCTCACACTCTCTTTCTCCCTTCTCCCCCCTCTCCCCCCTTTCTTTCTGTCTCGCCTCCATGCATGTTACCTCCAGGGCCGGTGTGTCCATATAGCCAAGTTAGGTGGTTGCCTAGAGTGCCATCTTCAGGTGAGCACTAGCCTGCCGATGAACCGCCCCTCTCTCGCCAGCCACAAAGCCCTGCTCCGCTCACAGCAGAGGCCTAGTACTTGAAACAAACAAACGCAAATGAGTTCCCCCTGCAAGGCCGGGGAGGCGTCCAAGTCTCCCCAGCCGCCACGTGACATCAGCGGCAAACCTGCTGCTGCTTCTCCCTCCGTCAGTGGCAAAGGGCCTTCCTTCCGTCCCCTGAGGAGTGCGCCCTCCCCACCCTTAGAGTCCTGCCCTCAGCGGGGTCTGTGCCGCCGTTTGGCCATGCTGTGACATCCCTCAAATAGCAGCTCGAGGCAGGTGGTTCTTCTGAGGCAGCTGGGGCTGTGCGCTGCCCACAACTTCCCTTTCCTTTGGCTCAGGCAGCACTTCAGAACCAGGTCAGTGGCAGGGCACCCCAGTCTGGCCGGACCCTTTCCCTTAGACATGGCAAAGAGGCCTTCACTGCAGGGATGACGGCAGCAGCAACCCCTGTGCCCTGGGGGTTGTTCTGGTTACTTCTTCTCCTGCCCGTTTCCGTGATGCCTTCCAAGCTGAACATCCCCAAAGTGCTTCTGCCGTTTACTCCAAGCACCAGAATTAACTTCACCCTGGAAGCAAGCGAGAGCTGCTACCGGCCACTAAAGAGTGAGGGCAGGGAGGACCCTTTGGAACCCGGTGCGCGATTGAGGCATGTGGCGCAAGTGTGGCAGCAGCTCGCATTTCGGTGTGCAGCACGTGGGCAAGGAAGCCGGGATGGGGCCCTGGAAAATAAACCTTCTTGTCTTGCATGTCCTGGGTAGTTCTGTGGTAGGGTGGTTGCTGGTCACATACCCTGAACAAGCTCTTCTCCTCCCCCCCCCCCCCCCCCGGCAATTGTCTTCTTCACAGGGCCCTTGTGCCACAGCTCCAGGCCACTTTGGAAACTAAAATGAATAGCCTGCAGGAAACATGCTACACAGCCCTATGTTGTGCAGAGTTAAGTGCTCTTTGTAGAATCAGGCTTTTGTTTGTTTGTTTTTGCACGGACTTGACCAGAAAAAATTGCCCTCTCCACCCAGGAATCTTGAATGAACTATTAAGTTTTGTACTATTTTGTGAGTTTTTGAATGAACTATTAAGTTTTGGTGTTCTCACCATTAGCCAAAGGCAGTGGTACCAAACTGAGCAGACTGGTCTTGGTGTGGCAAACATCCCACTAGTATCAGAGCAATGGTGAACATCTCTGTATGTCCTTTAAATAAAATCCCACTTTGGGCAATGTTCCTAAAGTATCAGGAAACAATAAATATTTCATAACTTTTGGGCAAAAATGCAGGTCTGTGAAAAAAGAGACTTGGCGGGTATAAAATAGTTGGCACCTGTTATCTGGCAGTCCTGTTGTATAACTCTTCCAGATGTATAGCTGTGCTGTTGAATTTATAGGCACAGGGTACATAAATTAGATACCAACATGGCTGATTCTTCCTTGTGAATATTAACATTTTACACAAAGGAAGAAAAGTGTTTAAAAAGCTTTAAATTACATTACCAACTTTAGAATATTTGTGTGTCACCTCTTATTATACGTAGGGTGTGCATTTAGTAATCAATGAAATTAATAGAGAGCACACTTAATTTTTTTAATGCATCTGCTCATGCCAAATAAACAGAAACCATTTTATTTCCAAGTAGCCATTGGTCTCTTGCTGTAACCAAACTGGACAATTAATTCAGTTCAAAGATATTATCTCTTGTGACACCTCTTCTTCACACCTGTCCTCATCCTTGAAGCTCGCCAGTAATAGAATATATGATGCCATTTCTGAATATTTGAATTTTTGCCTTAATGCAGTTCCTGTTAGCTTTGTTTTACTATCAGCTTTAACCTGAATGTGATTATTCCATTGATTTCAATGGACATTGTTTGGCAGAAGTGTGCTCAGGATAAAGCTGAATAGCACATTGGAAATAGAATTAATGAAAACATTAAAGAGACTTAAATTTCAACATCACAATTAACAGGATTTTTCAAAATTCTTTGTGATTTGTGTTTTTTTGTTTGGGAGAGAAAATCAGAGATTGTATTACTCATTCTCACAATTTAAAAAGAAAAGAAATTAGGAATTTCAAATTTTGTATTTTTCATTCTTCCTAAAATGCATTTATGTTTGAAAATTGGTGGGCGCACGGGGTGGGGGCGCACCAGAAGGTAGCCTCACCTAGTGTGCAAAAAAACCTGGCACTGGCCCTGGTTACCTCCTCTCTTTTTCTGCCCACTCATCATTCTGTTTTTCTGCCTCCCCACCACATAACTCTTTTTTTCTTTCTTTCTTTCTGCCCCTATCACTCTCCCAGCCTCTTGCCTGCATCCTCCCCCATCCTGCACAGCAACAGCAGCAGCAGCAGCAATGGTGGCGGAGCTCCCAGCCACCCACCTGCTTCCTCTCCCCTCAAGCAGCAGTGGCAGTGCTCTGGGAATCATAACCGATCTTCCAGCCACAGAGATCAATTCATCAATCAATTCAAATCATAGAGGATGTAGTGGCAGACATAGTCAGAACAAACCTCGCCTCTCAGGGAAGCTTGCCAAGAAGGGAGTCTAGAGTCCCAGAATAGAATAGCATTGAAAAACAGTAAGAAGAATATAAAGCGGTAACAATTGTATGGCCTTGTGTAGATTAAAAGCTGTCTAACCCTTTACCAATCGATACAGTTGTTTTACGCTCAGGTGCAGAAGCATCTGAGAATCACAAGAATGTTCAACTTCACTAGGGTTGCCAACCAAGATCACTTCCCCTGGAGAAGATGGCTGCTTTTGCGGGAGGTCTCTGTGGCATTATACCTTGCTGAAGTCCCTCCCCTCCCCAACCCCACCCTTCCCAGGCTCCACCCCCCAAAATATCCAATAACTCCCAACCCAGAGCTGGCAAATATAAACTTCACAGAAGTGATGATTCAAAGATGGGAGTACTGGCTGAGGGCCAAAAGATATTAATATGTATAAGCAACTTGTAATCGTTACTTTAAAGTGGGTTTTGTTAAGATAAACAGTAGTGAGAATAAACTAAGACTTTTTAAAATATATTCTAAGAAGTTATTTTAAGTAAAGAAAGCCTTGTATGGTGTTTGAAGTTAAAAGATAAGGAGTTAGCCAAGAATGTGTGCCCTTGTCAAGTGTACAGTTAGCTATCGTTAGGAGATGAATTTAAAGCCCCATATACAGGGAAAGTTGTATTGATTGAGAGTTTCTTCTCAGAAGGGGCCCCTTGCCTGTGACTTGCTTACTTTTGGGGTAAGAAACTCCTGTGGACTCATGTAATTGCTTTCCTTTAATTATCTATGTAATAGTGATTGATGGATGGTATAATGCTTTGTGGATTTAGTGTATGTTAAGAGCGAAATAATTATGCTTCAATAAATAAGATTAGAATGGAAGACATTATCTAATAATATTTACTTTTGTACTATACCCAGAATGAACCTATAGCATTACTGAGGTATACCTTTGGCTAGAAGTTGAATTATCTGGTATAGGAAAACTAACTAGACACCTAGAGTTTCTTAAGTGCATGCCTATATCTGAATCAGGCCTGACCAGAGTAATCAAGAAGAAGAAGAGAGAAGAGATTGGATTTATACCCCGCCCTAGCAAGGGATGAATGAGTATAGTACTAAATGTAAAATCTGTAGGCTCCAGCTTGATTAATCAGAGACATAGCAGCCACTCATGGAGAGATCCTCCTTGAACATACTGGAACCCTATACACCTACTCATCTCTACAATGCATCACCCTAGGCCATTACAGCAGTGGGAAGGCTGTGCCACTGGAAGATGGAGGGCATAACAGGGAAGGAGAGGGCTGAACTATGGAAGAGAAATGCAGGCCTCCCATTCCCTAGAACAGCCTGAAATTAGGGATGCCAGCATCCAGGTGGGACCTGGGGATCCCCCAGAATTACAGCTCATCTCCAGACTACAGAGATCACTTCTCTTGGAGAAAGTGTATACTTTGGAGCATGGACTCTATGGCATTGTACTCCACTGAGGTGGTCCATTTCCTCCCCAGGCTCCATCCCCAATCTCCAGGAGTTTTCCAACCTGGATCTGGCAACCCTACATCCCATCCCCCGCCAGTGGCTAGGGGGGATCAGACAACTCTAGGCCTGACATGTTGAGATGACACAAGATTTATAATGCCTGTGGGGATCCTACTGTTGCATGGACATCTACAACCATTGTAAAAAGGTAAAGGTAAAGGTTCCCTTGCTCAAAAGCCAGTCGAATCCGACTCTAGGGTTGCGGTGCTCATCTCCGTTTCAAAGCTGAAGAGCCAGCGCTGTCTGAAGATGTTTCCGTGGTCATGTGGCTGGCATGACTAAACACCAAGGCACACGGAACGCTGTTACCTTCCCACCGAAGTGGTACCTATTTATCTACTTGCAATTTCTTGCTTTCGAACTGCTAGGTTGGCATTGTACATCCATTGTAGATTCGATCAAACCCACTGTATTTTAAGTATCTTAAAATCTCTTTTATATTACTTTATTTTCTTCCACAGGTAGCAGAGTGGGGAATTGAGAAGCTTGGTCTCTTGACATATGCAGATCAGTTGGCAGGCACCTACAGCGGTGGCAACAAGCGCAAGCTCTCCACTGCCATTGCGCTGATAGGCTGCCCTCCTTTAGTCCTTCTGGTAAGTACCTTGATGGTAAGGAAACCACATAACTCACCAAGTAGTTCAGGCCAAACAACAGTTCTCAGGTTGTGTCTGAGACTGCCACGAGTAGTTTCAGTCAGATGTGCTCTGTAAATTCCCCAGTGGGAACTTAATTTCCTGGTGCTGGGGGGGGGGTTGATTTTGGATCAGGAGTCATGTGCACCTGGGAGGTATGGACACCCAAAACATGTCTGCTGTCCTGTGACAGAAATTAAACAATACCGTGCCAAAAATAATCTATTTTTACAATATATACTGACTATTTCAACAGTATATTTTAATTATCCAATAGTAATATTACAATTCACACATAAAGCACAATGAGCATATTAACACCAACAGGTGTACATTCTCACACAAAAAGTCTATTAAAGTCTTTTTTTATAGCAGATGAAAGCAGTCAGATGAAAGCAGTCAAGCAGTCAGTTCACTGCTCTGGACTGAAAAGCGGTTTCAATCAGACTTTGTCAGGCCTATGCATCAGTTAGGATCAAAGCCGTCATGAGAACCATTTGGCTGAACTGAAAGAAACGAGACAGCTGTTAAACCCACTTGGAGGTGTTTGCTCTGCTTTATTTAATATATGAAAGCTTTGGTTCCAATTGATGTGCAAAGTCTGATGAAGTCTGATTGAAACTGCTTTTCAGTCCAGAGTAGCGAGTTGACTACTTGACTGCTTTCATCTGATTACTTCCATCTTCTACAAGAAAGATTTTAATAGACTTTTTGTGCAAGCATTTACACTTGGTGTTGATATGCTCACTGTGAATTGTAATATTACTATTGGATAATTAAAATACACTGTTGAAATAGTATATATTGTAAAAATAGATTATTTTGGCTGAAGTCACAGAGACAAACATCAGCTCCCCAACTTCCCTACTCTTTCTTCTTCCAAAGTGCTAGAGAGTCACATTGGGGAGAGGTTTTAGGAATTATCCACCCTTGATCCCACCCTAGTTCATTTTCTGACTGACAGGGTTGTCAAAACTATATACAAATATACATATCTGCAAAGTATTTTTTATCAATAACCATTTAAATCTATATGTATATCTTCTCCTCACCAGCTTTTACATCACTCAGTGTAGGATTTGTTTGTTCATTCTACCAATATTCCTCAGAAAATAGAACAAAGTTTGAGTCCAGTGGCAACTTTAACACAGCTACCCAACTGAATCTTTCCTCAGAAAGTAGTTACTGGATGCATATGTAGTTTTCCCAGACTCCAAAATGACTTCAGTTCCCCTACTTTTTTGGAATTAGTTTCCTCCTGCATATGAGTGCTTCCAATGGGAAGCCAGTGATTGGCTAGAGAACCCTGTTTACCTAACCTAACATGACATACTGGAGAGAATCAGTGGCTACAGCAGTTGTCTCCATTGCCTTCATTTTACAGTTGGCTCTTGTGCCAATTAAGATCATTGCAGTATACCATCTGGAAAAAAATATTCACATGATTGCTTCTCTGTTATCTTATCTGCTTGTATAAGTAATTATGTCTGGTTTCAACCAATTATAACCAAGCCTGGAAAAAATCCTTGATAATGATCAAAAATAGGGGTGTACAAAAAAAAATCGGTATTTTTTGGGTTTAAGTATATTGAACTGGAAAAATATCAATATTTCCCAATATTTCTGAATCCCAAAACCAGTATGGTATTTGGATTCAGGATTTTTCAGGAATCCTGATTCCCCCCTGGCTCCATTATGCACTATGGGGACCATTATAGTCAATGGTCTCCATAGCATATAATGGGGTTTTTTCTGAGGTAGAGGCACCAAATTTGCAGCATACCTGCTGGTGCCTCTCCTCAAAAGAACCCCCAAATTTCAAAAAGATTGGACCAGGGGGTCCAATGCTATGGGCCCCCAAAGAAGGTGCCCTCGTCCTCCATTGTTTGCAATAGGGGAAATGCTTTTAAAGGTATTGTGGTCCCTTTAAATGCTTACTGCAAGCTGAACATTCACTCTAAAGGCCTTTAAAGGGCTTGCAGTCCTTTTAAATGCCTTCTCCAAGCTGCAATTTCACCCAGAAGGCATTTAAAAGGACTGTGATCTCTTTAAATGCCCTTTAACTGCGACTATCTGGCAGTCCCAAAAAAATCCCAAATATTTTTTGGATTTTCTGGGCTTGGCTATATTGGATAGCCGAAAACATACTTAAATGTATATTTGACTGAAAAAATAGCCATTATTTTTTTGGCTTGGATATAGCCGAATGCACACCCCTAATCAAAGCTCATAGGCAGACTGTTGTAATATTTTTGTCACCTTCAGCTACATTATGATTATGTTGTTCTCTCAGGATGAGCCAACTACAGGTATGGACCCTCAATCTCGACGTTTCTTATGGAACTCAATTGTCAGCGTGATCAGAGAGGGAAGAGCTGTTGTTCTGACCTCACACAGGTAATGCACATAACTCATGTCCAACCAGCTGTGGAACTTTGTTCTTGCTTGTGGCCAAATATTCAGGGTATGCACATGGTACATTATCCTCACAACAGAGCGCTTCAGCATGTTAAAAACTCATTGAAGACAGAAAACTTGCACATCAGAGGGAATCCTACTAAACCTTCTCCCTGAAGTGCTAGCATTCTAAATCCAGGAAACATTGAAAGATGTGTCCTTTTTGTTTTTTAGTGTTGCAATACCAGAATGACTGTGAATGTATCAAACTGAGCTGAAAAGTGAACAAGAATAATTATGGCTTAACTCTTAGCAGTCTAATATTTATTAATGAAGTGAAGATTAAGCCCTTTATGATGATCTTTACTGAATTCCATTGAAGTCTAGATCCCTGTGCTGTATCTTCAGGTTTCCTGTGTATACGTTTAAAGGTACAACTGGAATGTACTCCTACAAATCAAACGGATTGTTGCCCTTTAGAGGTCTCCAGTACTGAGGATCATTCAGCACAAGAGGAACGGAGCTGAGCACAGAACTTCCTCTATTGTACCACTTGGCAGGAAACAGGAGGTTTAGAAAATTTCTTCCTACCACTTGGAAGGATTAGGGAAAACTCTTGTATCCACCCTGGCAACCATCCACACTTCTCTAGGAATGGCTGTCTTGTGTTTTTGCAAAGCCAGAACATTGTGGGCTCCCCAAATAATCTGGAAATAGATCATATTTTCAGTTTGCTGGGGGGGGGATCACACTTTGGCTGATTCTTTAGTTACCTGGACATGAGACAGTCTTTGAGGCTACCCTGTGGTAGTCACATAGAGCTTCCCAAAGGAAGACCAGAAAGCACTCAGTGTTAAATAAATATTGCTTGTAGTAGAACAGCCCCACTGACCAACTCGTGCTGCTCTGTTTGGCCCTTTGAGGCATCTAGGCAACCCGTGACCGTCCACACCCTCTGCCCAACAATGCGCTGCTCTCCCAGCTTGCCCAACCCTTGGAGGAGTTTCTCTCTCACTCCTCCTTTAGTATTCTGGCCAGTTGAGGGATTGTCCCATCAAGAGGGCCAATACTCCGAGTTTCCCTTCCTACATTGCCATTCTAAGGTTCTGCCTAGAGCCTGCATTTCCCATTACCCTGAAACTGGTTATTACAGGGACAGCTTACCACACTTGCATGTTTCCAGGGAAACAGTGATCTAGTAGCTAACCACTCTCTTTCCCCTGGCATCCTTTTAAATAACAAGTTTGAACAACATAAGTCAATGTCTATTGAAAACAACTACCAGCATGTAAAATAGTGAAGAACGTATTAGAAGTAAAACGTCCACACACATACCCTGTGCACAGCATCAGAGTGAGCAAGGAATACAAAAGAAGGGTGCAAACATGCAATTCTCCTGTCCTTCACTCTATACATGCCTTATTCTAAGGCAGGCTCTTTAATTTAGAAGTTACAGTTTCCTAAAAGCTGGCCATTACCTTAGAATCTTTGTCTAGGCAGCCACTCCTTTGTCCTCTTCATATGGCAATGGCAGCCATCAAGATGGAGCGCAGGTGTGAGAGCTCCCTCCTCCAGGTGGAATCAGCCCAGAAAGGACTTGCAAAGGGACCCCTCTCCCTCCATGCCAAGGGATTTTATCTCTTCTGTCTTCCCAGCCCCTTGTGAATCAAATAATCCTTTCCTGAATTCTCCAAGAATATACCATCTGTCCTTTCACATTCCCCAAGTCTCCGTGTCCCTTCTACATGTAAAATTCCAGCTAAGTTATGAACTTGCCATTTCATTGTCTCCATCCAGTTTGACCATTAGCATTTCCAGTGCTTTGGTGGTTAATACTTTGGAGCAATTGACTTCCCCCTCCTCCTTGCCTGCTGCTAGGAGAGAAAAAACACACTTTAAAATAAATGCAGGGCTTTTCACAAGCCCAAACTCCAAAGTAAAAAGGTATGTTCCACAGTACTTTATTTTTATCTTGAACAAAAATTGAACACCTGTGAATATGAAGCAGATGCCACTGATTCTCAAGGGGTCAGTTTCATTCTTTAGAGAAAGAAACAACTGGCTTGCAAAAACAGCAGAGCTCCATGGCAAGGCCAAACTAGATCACAGTGGAGGGTTCATTTTGTGTAGTCAGGTCCAGTATAAACTATTTGTACATATCGGGACTGCAGGGCTGCTTTATTATTTTTACTTTTGCTGTAATCCTGCAATGGTAGATGATCTCTATTTTTTCCAGCATGGAAGAATGCGAGGCACTCTGTACACGCCTGGCTATCATGGTTAAGGGGACCTTCAAATGCCTGGGCACCATTCAGCATCTCAAATACAAGTATGTTAAAAGATTCACTTCTCATTTTTATACAATTATTAAGTACTTCTCACTGAGGAAAACGTGGTTAGTTATTGTAGCCATGGGCACAATTCACTGGGAATCTCCTGTGCAAGACCACAGTAAGCCTGCCTTTAGAGACATCTCTGCATTAAACCACTATTTCATTCTTGTGTCGTTCCCCCCCCCCAACAAGAATCTTGGAATTGTGTAGGTTGGTGATGGGGTTGAGAATTCTCATTAGAGATCTGTAGCCCCATTTCACAGTTTTCGATTTTCTAGCATTTCCTTCGAAGAGCAAATGCCTGGTTAGGGTATTTTCTGTGGTATACCCCTGCAGTGAGGAAGTCATTCAACTGCTGATTTTCTAATTCCAAATATGTTCACCTCAACAGGTTGTGCTAATTTAGTGGTAATTCCACAGTGATGTCTGTATCAGGATAGTTACTGTATAGTGCCTTGTTGGCTTGTACAACTGAATACTACAATAAACACAAAGGCTACTTGGCTCATTACTTCTGTCCCTCTCCAGAAACTTGTGCTGTAATTTCAGCTCCACCTATTTGTGCTATAAGGTTGGCTGCAACTGTTTCTGCAGCTTTTGTCGCTATATTGCAAAGGTGGAAAGCCCCTTGTACTCTACTGTGGTTGACTCTACAATGAGGTGAGATGTGTTAGAGGCAAGATGTGTTAGTGACTTCAGGAGGTGGAAGGACATGGCTGACGCTGACTCTGTCGCCACCCAGCCCAAAAGCCATAGCCTCTATCTCTTTCTCTTCCAAGCAGTCCTTAAACACAGTATATCATGTTGTGCCCAATAAGGCTTCTTGAGTTGTAAAAGTAAGTCAAAGAGTCTTAAAAGAAGCAAGTTATTCAGACCAGGCTTTAAGGTATTATGACACCTGAATTGGAAAATCTGAATTCTCACCTGCCCCCACAGAGTTCCCACCTGAGCCTGCCACAAACTGATGCTTTGCATGAATCTGTGTTACTCTTGCTGTGACAAAACACACTGTTACAGTCTTTTGGGTACATTACATTTCCTCCCAAATATCTTAAGACATCAAACATTACTTTTACAGGATACAGTATTAAGAACAAATACTCCCTTTTAACTTACTTGTTAAAAATAATGAAACGTATTAAATATTTACCATTTTTTAATTGCCTCCATCTCTTGCCTGAGGGTGCTGCTACATGGTAGGAACAACCTTGAAAGCATAGCTCTGATTCCTCACTACAAGCGTATTTGTTTCAGATCTTTTCCACACAAATTATTTCATTTCCAAGATTACATTGCCAGGCTTGGACCACTTCAGACACATTACAGCCCAAGTTTAGAGATACTTGAGCTAACTGAAATCAATAAGTTTAAGAATATTTTACTCTGATCCTCAACTTAGCTCATCCCAACCACTCCCAAGGGCCAATTTCATAGCAGGGAATGCCAATAAATATGGGGCAACTTGATGATCAGGTGTTGAACAAATGACTAAGTTTACTGAGTTCGCCAAGCATGAAGTCAGCCCTGATGCATAACCGGTTGGGGCTATTTAGTTATTGAACTTACGCCATGCTTCTCCCCATACAAGGGGCCCTAAGCAACTAACAACACTAAACTGTACAATTTTGTATTTTGCCATGCAATTACATATAAAATTGTTAATGATGAGTGCTGGTCTCTTGTGGTTTTATTTGCATCAACTCTTTTTCAAATGATCTCACTAAAGAAGTCAGATCACTTGTTTATCAAGATTAGTGTTGTCTATGACTGACAGTGGCTCCCCATGGTAGGAGTCTTTCTCATCACCTCATCATCCTTTTAACTAAAAATGCCTGGATTTTAGCTGAGGACCTTCAGGATACAAAACATGTCTATGACCCCACTGTAACTTTCCTCAGGTCTATCTGGGGTTAGCCCCTGTTTAAGCGGTAGGTAGGAACGCGGGAGTCACAAAGAGACTGTGAGTTCTCTCACCTCAGATCGTAAACTGCTGCTGCCTGCCCTTTTGATATAGGCTGCGCAGTTTATATCTACCCGAAACTCCGGCTCAGTGTTTTTAAGCACAGCTGATACCTCTCAGTTTCGTGTAAATCACTTCCTCCCTGGTGGAGCTCATATGTCATCTTTATTGTTATTCCCTCGTTCCCCCCCGCTTAAAGCTGTAAGGAGTCCTGACCGGCCCGACGGGCGTCCGCCCGATCAGGACTGGATCCCCTCTTATAGTGGTACATTCTTCTTGTCTGGCATTCTTCCAGAGGGTCCTGACCGCTGGTCTGGCCCTGCCGGGTGCCTTGGTTCCGGTAACGTTGAGCCCTATGCGATGTGCCCCGCCCCCGGGTTCTAGGGCTATAGCTTCCTTCTGGTCCCCGGACTCGGATGTCTGACACCCACCTCAAATGCATTGGTATGTTCTTCCTTCTTGACCATTACAAGTGCCTTTTTAAATAAAAACTATATTAAGGATATGTGGCATATAGCGAATTTCTGAGATAGATGGATATTTCTCACTGAACAGTATAACCCAGCACTTTATAAACTCTGGGTATTTCACAGATACGGAGATGGCTACATTGTTACCATGAAAATCAAGGCCCCTAAACCTGGACTACCTCCAGATCCAAGTCTAGCTGAGCACTTCGTACAGCTGAACTTCCCCGGGAGCATACTGAGAGAGAAGCACTACAACATGCTTCAGTACCAGATATGCGCCTACTCACTGGCCAGGATCTTCCGATTAATTCTCTCCAACAAGGACTATCTGAATATTGAAGAATATTCTGTCTCACAAACTACTCTAGATCAGGTAAGTTAAAACCTTCTGAAACCATAAAAACCCCACCTAGGAAATGCAGATGTCTTTCCAAGAATAAATCAAAAGTTCTGAAAATGATTGAGTAACAAGCAACATTTTGGCAATTCTTTATAAAGGTTCTATGTTTCCATAGTTCTTGCTTTAATCTTAAATTGCATAGGGAGATTGACAGTGCAGTTGTAAATTATACCCTTCTAACCCGTTGTTTTAATTGTACATAGAAGAGTGTAAGGGACAAACTACATGTTATTTTTTTTATGAATTAGGCTGAGGTTTCCTGGACTCAACTCACTTTCCCTGAAGTCACACAGAAGCTGCAGGGAAAGGTATTTTTAAAGTCCCCAGGAGCCCAACTCTGTTTGAAACATTGACATGGGGGGAGGAGGGGCTCTTGCCTTTCCCCCATGCCATTATCCTGAACTAAAACAGCCCTGGCAGAAGATATTTGCATACCTTTGTAACTGCACATGTTGAGAAAACACCATGTGTAGTGCCAGTTATGCAAGGAACTTCCTGCAGGGGCTATTTCAGCTTGGGAAAATGCTGCGGAGGGGAAGGAAGGTAAGAGCCCCCTCTCCCTTTGCTGCAGTGCCTAGCAGAACTGGGCTCCTGCAGGCTTTAAAAAACGCTATTCCCCACAGCTGCTGTGTGACTGTAGGAGCTAGTTGAATACAGGGAACCTTAACCTGACTCACTGAAAAGGATAACCCATAGTGTGGCCCTGGCTCTGCTTGGGATTGTACTGTAAGTAACTTAAGGATTGGTTTAGATAGTGATAGTCACTCTCAGTGGGACCAGCCTTTGCAGGGTATCCAACCTTTTTGAGCCTGAGGGTACTTTTGGAATTCTGAGACAGGGTAGTGGGCGCAACTACAAAACAGCTGATGCAGGAGGTGAAGCCAACCACAAAATGCCAGGGAGTGAGGTTAAACACAACTGTAATAGTAACTCTTCAACATGGCAGGCAGAAGCTCTGCTTCAGAATCCCTTTTTTGTTTAAAAATTGTTTTGCATGCACATAGTTTATCTTCAGTCACACAGTGAAGATCCTTGTGTTGTGCTGGCAGTAGCTGAAGCAATAGGTTTTTTTTTAATATCACCGACAAACTCCAGTGGCTGATGAGAAGGCCTGCTGGGCAGAGGCCACACTTGGCCATGCCCACTTTTGAATATAACCTGTTGGGCACCAGGAGAGGTGTCAGGTGCAGGGTTACCATTCCCCAGGTTCGGGTGGGGGATCCCTCGTTTTCCCACACTCCATCGTGCTGGAAGTGATGTCATGGCATCGGTTACATAAAGGGTGATTGATTTGGGGGCAAAACTCTATGGTAAAATTGTCCTCAAACCATAGAGTCTTGCCCAAAAAGCAGAGCGTCTCCCCCCAACATCACTGGTGTGCTGATGTCACTTCCGATGTCCCCACCCACTCCGTGAATACCCCCCCAAATCCCCTTGCCAGTGCAAAGGAACAACCTGGCAACCCTAGTCAGGTGCCATGGTACCCACAGGTGCCACACTGGGGACTCCTGTCCTTGGTTCTCTCCAGATCTTTAAGGGGAGAATTAGTCTGGAGATGTGGAGAAAAGTCTGGAGATGTGGAGTACTGTATGAAAGATGACGACTTGGTTCTCTCCAGATCTTTAAGGGGAGACTTAGTCTGGAGATGTGGAGAACTGTATGAAAGATGACAACTAGAGCTGCCAACAGGCCTGGAGAAAAATAACCTATCTAACAGAGGCTTCACTGGATGTTATACCATGCCATGAAGAGCTTCAACTGCCCATTTCCAAACATTAAACCTCAATTAAAGGGAGCTGCGGTGGCTCAAGTGGTTAAGACGCTGAACTGCAGGCTGTGGAAGGTCAGTAGTTCAGCAGTTCAAGACCCACAGTTCGAGACCCGGGTGCCGTGTGACGGAGTGAGCTCCCGTCTCTAGTTCCAGCTCCTGCCAACCTAGCAGTTCGAAAGCAAGAAATTGCAAGTAGATAAATAGGTACCACTTTGGTGGGAAGGTAACAGCGTTCCATGCGCCTTGGTGTTTAGTCATGCCGGCCACATGACCACGGAAACGTCTTTGGACAGCGCTGGCTCTTCGGCTTTGAAACGGAGATGAGCACTGCAACCCTAGAGTCAGATTCGACTGGCCTTCGAGCAAGGGAACCTTTACCTTTACCTTAAAGGGAAAGGACATTTTTTCTCCAGACCTGTTGGCAACCATAATGATGACTAGTTAAGCAGAGAATGATCTTTCCAAGTTTAATACAATGGAATTAGCATCCATCTACATTTTTGATGTTCACAGGACATCTGGGTTCCCTGCATCCTTTACCAGAAGCAAAGGCAATTCTGATGACACACTTATCTGCTTTTCTTCTCACAGGTTTTCGTGAACTTTGCTAAACAGCAGACGGAGGATCAGGAAATTCCTCTTCACCCTCGTGCAGCTGGTGCTAACAGACAGGCGAAGGTGACCCCTGCTTCCTCTCAGCATACAAGAGCATAAAGGAGCTCTGCATCAGCTAAAAGAATCCTCCTTAGCTGGGAGTCCTGCATGCCAGAGAACTGCAAACACAGGACAAGCTCTTCACAATGCAGCAGTTAAACATAGTGGTACCAGTGGGGAACAGTAACAGGGTCAGATGCATAGGCTTTGACACAAAATGGTTTGATACAAAATCACTTTTGTGTGTGTGCACTTTAAAAAAAAACAAGTATGCAAGCAGTGTTCCCTCTAAGTTGAGTGTGAGCTAGCTCACAGTTTTTTACCCTCCAGCTCACACGTTTTTGTCTTTGCTCAGGAAGGAGGGCTCCAGAGCAAACTAATTTATGCAGTAGCCAAATCGCTCGCTCACAACGTTAATGCCAGTAGCTCACAAAATAGAGTTTTTGCTCACAAGACTCCACAGTTTAGAGGGAACATTGTATGCAAGGCCATCACTTCAATCAAAAGCACCTGTTTTTAAAGTAATGCTGTAGAATTTATGTTTTGGACCAAACTAGGACTTGCTAACAATTACAAGCTATGTTGTGTTCTCTCCTGCCAAAACCTGGACAGGCACTGGCTATGGCAAACATGCCAACGAGCTCACAGGGATTCATGGCCAGCTATGGAACTGCAAAGTTTTATGAGTGCAAGGAAACATTCCCTTTCCCGTCCTTGGGCATTCAAGGTGCTAGTTTATAACTGTAACTTGTAAAACCTATCACCATTGAGGGTGAGAATTCCAAAGCTTGGATACTACTTAAATTCTACTTAGGCCCAATGATGTGTACCAGTGGAAGGGTTCACGTGAGTGCCATTTTCCACACTCCATTGATGGAGGTGTGGATTTCATCTAGGACTCTAGCTCTCATGCTGTTTGTAACTCTCAGTGAAGCCAATAGGAAACCCATGTGCAAAAGATCCCCACAGGGTTGCCAGGTCCTAGGCTCTCTGGTGGGGGGTGGAAGGGAGCTTTCCAGGAGTGGGGAAATGGGGCGACGTCACCATGTGTGACGTCCCCGATGTGATGACGTCACGCAGAAGTGACATCATCATGCAGCAACACTCTGGTATTTGGGGCAAAACTCTATGATCACCATAGAGCTTTGCCCAAAATACTACAGCGTCGCCGTGCAACGTCCCTGGTGTGATGACGTCACTTCCACATGATGTCATCATGTTGGGAACATTGCGCTGGGTTATGGCTGTCAGGGGTGAAGCTTCCCCCCACCAGCCAGCTGGCCGACAACAAGCAGGAGACCATGAAATTGGGGGCTCCCCCACTCCCACCTGGGGGCTGGCAAGCCTAGATCCCCAAGGTGCTGTTATTGTTAACACCATTGCTAAAATGTAGTTAGCAGAAGCTTCTCATTCTTCAGTGAATTACTTTAACCTACAACTTAATAAACCTCTGTAGTTATTGGGTTTTATCATCATATATTCCAATAGCCAAATTGGCCAAATCTGTGGATACTTAAATCCGGTGATTGGACCTGTAAACAGACAATACAGATCTTTCTACAAATCTGAACAATGCCCAGGTTTGCAGAAAAATCTGAAATTAAAAAAAATATACAATGGGGGATTAAAAAACCCCAAATTATAAAAGGAGTGCCTGTAGTTTTGAGAACAGAAGTCCTCAGTGGCTGTTGCTAGGCAACCACAACAGGCTTGGTTTCTGTGAGTAAAGGCAAGGGAGAGGACAGTGCCCTTTCCAGGACTGTTTTGGCCTTTGAGGGATGTCTCATTGGCAGCTTGATACCACGTGACTCGCATGACTTACCTAGATCTGGCTGCTTGCTAATGTTCAATAGCAGCTATCCCACAAAAGCCTTGTGTTGTAGTAGTTAGAATTTCAGACTAGGACCTTCAGCCCCCATTTTGCCCTGTGGGATCTTATGCAATTCTGCAGGGCCTGTAAGACAGAGATGTTCTGCCAGGCGTTAGGTTGAGGACAGCGACGGCTCACATCATGGCTGGCACCCTTCCTGGATCCCTATCCCTCCTCCCCCTTGCTCATAAAGCACCCACAGGCCAGAAACTGGAGGAAACCACAAATTTCGCCCCTTGGTTTTAATTAATGAATTATATGTTCTGATGATGGTTTTATTGTTTTTAAATCTGTACATCGCCTAGAGCCCCACATTCGTGGGGATTAGGTGATTCAAAAATGCAATTAAAAAATAAAAAACTCACTGGGTAACCTTGGGCCATTGAGACATTCTTAGCCTAATTAACCTCACAGGAAGGGCCAAAACTGACAATTAAGAGCACCTAGATACTTCCTGGTGGGCCAATGGTCTCTTACCCACATGTGGACTGGCCAGCCCTCTGACAGAAGGGCTGAGCCTGACTCATCCAAACCCCATGCAAGGCAGACAGCAGTGCATGGCTGAGCCCCATGTGAAGTAGAGGGTGGTGCCTGGCTCAGCCCAGTCAAGCCTCATGCAAGTTGAGGGAGGCAGCCAGTCAAGACGAGGAAGACAATACCTGGCCTTCACAAGACAAGAGAAGCAACCCCTGCCTGAGGTGAGGAAAGCAGTACCTAGACAATCAGTTAGACAGGCTGCCCTTCCTTCCATTCCCCCTCTGGGAGGGAGAGGCAGTCTCAGACAAACTGTCTCTTCCTTTCTCCCTTTTGGGACAGAGCCAGGGTGGGCTAGGGGAGGGGCTTTTTTTGCAGGATTTTTCACTTCCAGTCCACCCCTGCTCCTGGGATGTTCTGAAGATAAAACGGAGGAGAAGGGGATGTAGTAAGGTGCTCTGAGTCCCTATTGTGAAGAAAGGTGAGCTTTAAATGAAGTAAATAAAGAATAAATATTGCTGCAAATGAAGGAGCAGATAAGAGGTAGATGGGTGGGAAGCAGAGAAGGAAGCAGAGAGGGTTGGGGATATGGAGGTTGCCAGGTGGAGGGAAAGAAGAAATGTGTGAGGAAGCTGAGATTGGGGGGGAGGGATGGGTGCCCTTCACAAGTCCTTGCTGGTTCCCTACTGTGCAGGAAAGAGGGAAAGACTATGGGAGCTTTCAAAGAAGGAAAAGGGAATAGTGGGTGGGGGGGAGGAGAGAAATCAACGTTGCAAGTCCTCAGGGGTCCCTGCTTGTGTTTGTTTATTTATTTATTTAAAACATTTATTAGCCGCCTGTCTTCCTTATGGAGCTCAAGGCGGCTTACAACATTTAAACATATGTTTAAATGCTTTAAGCACTCTGAGGGTCTTGTTAAGCCATATTGTCATGGAAAAGTTTTAGAAATAATAAATAGCATTTTTTTCAGTCACCATATTGGAGAGTAGTATATTAATTCCTAGGAATCTTTGTAGTGTGACTGCTGCCAGAAAGGGAATCATGAGGGAAGCTTCTGAGGAACTGGGCTCACCACAGAACCTGGGAAACTTTTAACAAAGCTAATGCAACATTTGTTTTGAATGGCTGCTCAGGTTGGTTAAAGCCTTCCCTGCCCCTCCCCTGTATCAGTGGGAAGGTGTGTTCACACACTATTTCCCATGTAATTCCCTTTCCCAGTAGCAGTCATATTACAAAGAAAATATAATTTGTGTGTTGTTTCCAGTAGTTTTAATAGAAAGACTTCTAATAAATATACATAGGAGTACATCAATTTGAATTTCATCATAAGTCAATAATTATGATTTACTGTTTTTCATTTGCATTAGTTGCTATGTCCCAAACCATCCCTTCTCAGGTACAATATGCTACGCAACAAAGATGGGTTGTGTGTGTGTGTGTATACACACACACACACACACATATATATATTGCGTCTGTATGTTTGCGTGTATATGTTGTGATGGATGTCTTTTTTAACTTGAATGAGATACTAAACAAAAATATAAAAGTTCAGTAACAAACTACATTGCATCTTCTACTGCTGTAATTATGTGGACTGAATTTAAAATATAACCATGAATTTATTGCATATTCTCTTTATATACAATTGCAAAAAATTTTCTATACATAGTTTCTAGAGAAATAAATCTTGTCAGGAAACAGTCAGAGCCCCTTCATTGATAACATCTAAAACAAGTACTTAAAAGTGTGTTTAAGACAATAGGGCATTAATTTCTCAGTGTGGTTTGCACAGAGTCTTCTCAAAACTGACGGCATGTTCTATGGAGAAATACAACACTGGAGGATTCAGTATTTCCTTTGACTCTGATACCTGTGAACAGAGGCATTCCTTTCAGGACTACAGTTTAGGCCCCTTGTTTAAGTACCAACTGATCATGTGTGTGTTTGTCCAGTTGATTTCAACAGGTCTTACTCCCAAATTAAGTGAGCACAGGATTGCAGCACCAAATGTTTCCCAAGAATAAGAAATGCAGACAAGATAAGCACATGATATACAGTGCCAACTTAAACCGAGTTACTCTTTTCTAAATCAGCTGAAATCAGTGGGATTCCCTGATTAGAATGGCACTGAGAATCCTGTGAGAACTTCAGATTACAGGGAGAAGGGCATAAATGAATACTAAATCCCCACATAAGAATTTACTGAGTATAGAAAGCTAGGATATTGGTCAAAAGGCCAGGCAAGAACCTTTTTTCTACATGTGATAGTTTTCTCTGTTCAGGAAATTTCTTATAAGGGGAACATTCATATGTGCAACCTCCACTTTGCAGTCTGCAATAGTATAATCCCAACAGGACTGTGTGTAAATTGTTCATTACTGTTAGTCCCAGCATTCTCTTCATTTAATGCTTTCATCTATCTTGTGAACAAGTTGCCATATTTTCTGCTGATTGAGGTAGCCCAATCAGCTTACTTTGAGCCAGCTTTGGATACATTTCAGTCTTCTTCTTTAACAAGCCCAGTTATGGAACTTCAGACTGTTACATGATCAATTTTCATGTTTGCTCTTTGCCATGGTGCCCAGCCAGAAGTATGTAGAAAGTGTCTTCTCTCAGCAGCAGACGACATCCTGATAAGCCAGGTGTAGTTAGTCCGAAAAGACCTTTATTGCCAACGAGGCAAAATGGGAATCAATAGGGCATGTTTCAAATTCAGAAATACAAGGAGGATGGGGCTGTTGAACCCATGGGATTTCTCATTGTAGAGCAGATTCAGCATGCACTGGGAACACCTCACCGAAATCTTCTTCATAGCCTCTCTCATGGCCTGTAGTTGTGTCCATAACAGCTCTTATAGTTCAGTATAAAACTTTACAATAAGAAAGGAATAATAGACATTCGAAGACTAGGATAGTCCTTAAACTCTCGTAGATAAGTGTAATGTTTGTCTTTTGCCCAGACCGTCAATTGAATGAAACACAGTAAAGTGAATAATCCCACTACAAAAGACAAAGAAAAATACAGTAAATATTTATAAAGTACACTTGTGAGGCTAATACTCCCAAATTTTAAAACCAAGAATTCTATTCACCTGGAACGCACTGAGTCATGATAGTAAAACCAATCCACGTCCCCAGCTGTAATAGCCAAGAAAATTCAGAACTATTTCACATGATTAAAACTGCTACCACAACTAGTCCTTTAAATAAAAGATAAATACATATCCATTGCTAACATCAGTTTGTGAAAACAAAAACACCTTGATAAGCAACAGAAATGCAGTCATGCACACAACCAGAAAAATAACCAATGTGTTTTGAATATGTAGTTTGATCTGGAGAGCCATATCAGATTGCAACTGTACATTTCTGCACCTAAGGCAGACTTACAAATCCTTTCTGCTTCAATTATTGAGCAAATTGGGGAAGGGGAGTTGCACAGTCCTCCCAATCTTTCCATTTCTACATACTTCCCCAACCAAATGCTAACCTACTGATTTAACTGAATTTACCAGCATTTGGGTTTTTTTTTTTTTAATTGTTATTATTTACCATTTTTACATCATCTTAACTGCTAAGTGATTGTTATGATACTAGCCATTGTACTATACTAACAAGAGTCTTCTTACGCTTTGAAGGACTGAATGACTTATTTTCTGCAACTAATAATATGATCCTAACAACACAGTACATTTTCCATATGTCCTTCCTGAATCTGCCCTGAGGACTGTCAGTCAGATAGATGTCAGCTGTGAAACTGAATTCCCAAACATGCAGGGGCTCGATTCCGATCGGGATCACCCTTCCTGACCTGAAACAGCCAGGGAAGGCACTATTTGCCCAGTTGGAGGCTGCGTGTGTATTGACAGAGTTCACTGGAAACTGAATTCCCAAACATGCAGGGGCTCGATTCCGATCGGGATCACCCTTCCTGACCTGAAACAGCCAGGGAAGGCACTATTTGCCCAGTTGGAGGCTGCGTGTGTATTGACAGAGTAGAGGTAGGTTTCAATAGTGAGGCAAACAGCACTCCCTGGGGCCGTTTTAGATTGGTAAAACAGCTTAGGAGGGAAACCTGATGCCTCTGCTCCCTGTGTGCCGCAGTGCCAATCCGAATCAGGCTTGGGGAACGTGTGGAAACTGTAACATGCGGCTTTTCTGCATTCTTCTTTTTGTCGCTTGTGTACCCCTGTTTCTTTGGGCTGTTTTATTTTCTGCATGTGTTTTGCTCCCTCTAGTGGTTGCTTTGATATGCCATTGTTGGATCTCTCGAGTATTTTCCTGTACACTTAAAGTGGAGCGAAATAATGCCGGAGATACATATGGGTATAATATCAAAGGAGCAAAGCACATGCAGAAAAGAAAAAAAGTGAAGCAATACAGCCAAGAGCGATGAAAAGTATGCAATGAAAAGAAGAGTGCAGAAAAGCCCATGTAGTTACTTAAGCCCTAAATGCACCTGTACACAAACCCTGTCTGTATCTGGGACACAAGAGCTGCTTACAGAGTTTGGTATTTTTATTACACAAGGAATAATCTTGCTACATGCAATTCAAACTCTCACAAGTTCCCTGATAGGTTTAGGTTTATAATCATGTTAAATGTATATCCATCAAGCAAGACCTACATCTTATAAAGTTCTCTGCAGATTTAAAATACATACCTCATAGGTATAGTTAGGACAGGATACAAAATAGAATAGCCATGTGAAAGGATTCTTTGTTGGATAAGGGATCTTACTTGCCTTGGATCCTATGAGTTAAAAGATCCACAGAAATTCAGAACTTTACAAATGTGTAAAGAAAAAATATGCTAGAAAAATAATCCAGATTCCCATTTCTGTCCTTCCTGTACCATACGGCTCAGTTTGCTCATTTGCATAATCTGGAGCTACTTTCTATTTGCCTGCATTCTGATGGTTACACAGTTTCATCAAGACTGTACAGACAGACAGGGTGGAGAGAAAGATTTATTTTATTAGGAGCTGGGTAAGGATTCCTTTTGTTCACTTCTTTGGTTTTATAATCAAGAAAAAGGGGAAAAATTAATCTGTTTTAGCAGGTCAAGTGCATCACAGTGTGCTCAAGAAGTTTTAATAATTAATACTCTTTGAATCTAGAAACAGGTTCCAAACATCCTATCCCATCCTAGAGGGAACAAGAAACAGAATCCAAAATTCCACTGTGATGCAGATAGAGCAAGTTTGATTCCCAACAGCCAGGTCACCAGAGGCAATCAGTAGGTTTATTCCCAATCCTAATATACATGGATGGCAGTGGTATAGAAAATAGTGTTATTTTCACATTGCAGATAGAAGACTGAGCCTGAATTATAGTGAGTGGCCTAAGATCACTTTCAGTGCCATCATAAGCAGAGCTATGCCCATCAAAGTCCATTGAAACTCTGACTAGAAGGGTGGAACTCTGCTTATGGTGGCACTGTTAGTGAATTCAGGAGAAAGGAGAAAGCTGAACTGTGGACTTCCTCAGTTCACTACCCAGTCTCTTGGCACAACGCTAACTAGGGTCTGGCTACCATTAAGCAACCCCCATGCTGCTACCTGGTTAAACAATCCCTTGGCAGTATATCTGCTACCTGCTTGTGTTCTAAAATGTGACTATTGTAGGCTTAATTGCCCACTGGTACTGGGTGATTTTTACTGGGGTATTGTAGGTTCTGAACACAGTTGAGAGTGGTCAGACTCTCTCTTATGAGGTCTTTCACACTGTACATGCTCAGTCTATCATGTTTCTCTTCACATCCAAAGTAACTTTTAAAAAGTTAGAAGAAACCAAGAACTCAGCTTTTGCTGTCTTTTCTCAGATTACTAAGAGCAACGTGGATAGAAAAGTTTCCAGCTTCACATGTCTGTAATGAGAGAGAGAGAGAGAGAGGGAAAAACCCTACAACAACAACAACAAAGACTGCTTTAAATAAATAAGGCTCTAAAGATATTTATCCCAACCCAGCAAAGGAAGTCTGCACAGAAGAGTAGCATCCCATGCATGTAGCCCTTATGTCCCCTGTCCACTTCACAATGCTTATCTGGGTCCCACTGAACTGTTTGGTTCTTGCCGGAATGTCCGTTACACGCATCTATTGCTGGTCACCACAGCTGGATTGGGATTGTTATTTCAACAACTTTAAAAAAGGCTATTTTTCTGATGGCCCACTTTCTACATTGGCAGTATCAAAGCAAATATACATCTGGTTCAGATCCACTTGGGTGCCGGTAGGGAATCCCCACCCCTATACTATATATATATATGTGGCCGTAGATAGGGATTATAATGTGCACTTGCATCCTGCCTGTAAACCGCTCTGAGACCTTCGGGTCAGAGCGGTATATAAACCAAAATAATAAATAAATAAATTAATTAATTAAAGCAAGTGAGTCACACACATTAGCTGTTTGAGGAGAAGGGCGCAGAAGGGAATGAAATCAACCCTTCCCCCTCCATTCCCCAACAGTAGATCAGTGTGAATCTAGCTTAATTTAAAGGGTGGGGTGCATGCATTCAGAACCCATTAAGTGTCTGATGATTCCTCCATCCAGTTCTGGAATAGTGAATGGTGTGTAGCTGGTTTGGATAGCAAGGTTTTATCAAGATGAACTGCACCTCCATCCCGAGTGTGCTCCAATGCAAAGCCTCCCTCCCTCCCTCCCTAAATCAATGGTTAGAACTCCATGTAAACACAGGAATGGCCACACTCATAAGAATTTAGCAGGTTGCCATTAATGCCTTCCAATGCTTCATTCAGTTGATGGATCAGCAGCCTTTTCAACTGTATTCACTTCCTTATCTGAGGTATGGAAGCAACCCCTCAAACCTAAATCCCTATGCTTTTTCAAACTTTTGGGAATCCTACAAAATTTCATATCTGTGGCATTAAGCTGATCCACCAGATCAATTCTGGTTTAAATTTCCTAAGCCATTGAGAAATATTTGCTTGCTAATATGATAAAGGACATTCCTTACAGTATTATATTTTTAAGTGTGCATGAGCCCACTGGGGAGGGCGGGGTATAAATACAATAAATAAATAAATAAATAAATAAATAAATACATGTTACTTACCAGACACATGATGAGAGCAAAATTGACCTGTTTTTGTCCATAAGCTACAAAACAAAATATTTGTGAAGGTCTCATTTAGTGCTCGTTTAGCTTTATGGATGAAATGTTCAAATTATGTTCACTTATTTATTTTGCTACTTACAGGGTGGTGTGTATAGAGGATGGTTGATGTAATAAGCGAGCCAGGCAGCAAATCCCCAGTAGTAGAAACAATTCTATTAAAAAAATCATTTTATATGTATTAATAATTTATACATGATTACTGCCATTACTTTACATATATATCCAGGTGTCATCTCTTTGTCACATTCTACTGTGACCAAGAAACTAAATGAAGGAGGGAGTTACGTTGAGAGGAGTTTGGTTAGATCTCAGTGATAAGTTGGCAAGACTGTTGGAAACCAACTTGCTATTAAAAAAACTGGAGTAACCAGGGACAGATTTAGCCCCTACCCCAGTGTTTCCGAGGGCACCCATTTTTACATTCACACACATGGAATAGAATACTGCACTGCCGACATAGATGTTTCCTGGAGAATTTCCCACTGGGTGGTTTTGCTTTCACTGGAAGTAAACTCTATGGCGAGCATGAATGAAATATACGTCTGTGAGCAGAGTTCACAGAACCACATTATGCCTCTCTGCTGATTTTAAAGGTTCTTCCGCTATAGGAGACAACCTTGCAAAACATAAACATTATCATGGCCATTTTGTTACTAAACAAAAGAACTTTCAATTGTAGATTGATAACAGCTGTTTTTCAGACCATTGCTTGTTAACATTTTGCATCAGTACCAGCAAAAAAAAAAAGAGTTTATAAATGTCGGGATGGGAAGGAAAGATAGATGCAGTTTTTTGAAGTGGGGGGAGGGGGAAATCACATTTCAGGGTAGACACATCAGATTAGTTAATTTTTAAACCACTACCTGTTTTTCCAGTGCCTTGTAATACAGCTGAAAGTTTATCACACCTGCATGTTTCAAACCCATGCTAATCTCATGGCCACTGTAACCACCCACCTGATAAGAACATAACCCACAATGTAGCGTGTTTTCGTCTTTACACTTTCTTGCAACAAGAGGAACCAAAGGACTTTCCAGTCCTCCAGAGGGAGTTATGGCAATTCCATTAAGTGGGTGGAAGAATGAACAACCTGTTGAGTTCCTAAAATCTTTGGCACAGTGAACATCGTCTCTTAAACATTAACTTAACCCAAACCCACACATGCCTTCTGTATTAATGTTTAACTGTACCAAATAGCAACAGGCAATCATTTTTCTTTTCCTTCCAGAACTAATCTGTTCCAGCCCACTGAGGCAGCAGATGAAGTTTAGATGGATAGGTCCCAACCAGTGTTCCCTCTAAGGTGAGTTAGTGTGAGCCAACTCAGAGTTTTTTAGCCTCTGGCTCTCACCTATTTTTGTCTCACCTCAGGAAGAATGGCTCCAGAGCAAACTAATTTAAGCAGTAGCCAAATTGCTTGCTCGCAACTTCAGTACCAGGAGCTCATAAAGTAGAATTTTTGTTCACAAGACTCCACAGTTTAGAGGGAACACTGGTCCCAACCAGTGTGAGAGGACACCAACCCTTTGAGCAGGGACCTAATCCAGGTCAAGCTTTGGAATTTAGCTTCCTTGCCAATACTCTTCCCAAAGAGGCACAGCTGTGCCACTGAAAGGGCATGTTTAAGCTGGGGGGGGGGAGCCCTTATGTTCCAAGGAGGAGGAGAAGGAGGAGAAGGAGGAGATTGGATTTATACCTTGCCCTTCACTCGGAGTCTCAGAGCAGTTTACAATCTCCTTTCCCTTCCCCTCCCCACAACAGACACCCTGTGAGGTAGGTGGGGCTGAGAGAGCTCTGAGAGAACTGCTCTTTCAAGGACAGAACTATGGCTTGCCCAAGGTCATCCAGCAGCTGCAAGTGGAAGAGTCGGGAATCAAACCTGGCTCTCCCAGATTAGAGTCCGCACACAACCACAACACCAAACTGGCTCTTTATAAAGAGGGGACTCTTTATGTAGACTGGAATCAGAAATATCAGTATATCTATGCACCATTGTAGTAATGCATCTCCAGCTTCACTGAACTTCCAGCCATGGAGGAAGTCATCCCATGGAACCCAGGAATAGTTATAAATATATACCTAACCCAGGAAAGTAACAATTGGTGATTTCACATTCTCCATCAACCTAATTAAAATCTGATTCCACAGTTCACAAAGATGACACTAAAAAGATAAGTTGTTATAGTCAGGCTCAGTGAACAGAGTTCTGGGCTTGGAGGGGAAAGACCTACTTTCAAATCCAGGATCCAACACCAACTATCAGTTGTTCTTTGGCTCATACTATTATGGCCAAACTACCCAGGAGATGCAAGAACAGCCTCCAGATGATTTGGCTGAAAAACCGCCACTGCCAGTTTGATCACAGGAACAGCAGAGAGGGAGGGAGGGAGAGGGTCCACTTAACCCACTCTCATATTGCTGTTTGTTTGCTCAGAATCACCCTCCTGATGCTGCTTTTCAGCTCATGGGACAACAGATGCAGGGGACCCTACAGAAAAGCAACTGGAAAGGATGTGTTCTGAATGAACAAGAAGCAGGAAAGGGAAGAATTTAAAGCACCTCCCCCATACTGAATCATAGCTTCTGAGGCTGCTTTTCAGTATTTAAAAAAATCCCAAACTTCCAGCAAATTTTTCATACATCTCCTGTCAGGCCTGTAGCCAGGATTTTGTAATTCAGGGGGCCTTCAAATAAGTCGGGGGGCACTGACATCACACACACACAAAAATTAAGATAATTAAAAAAAAAACTCATGCTTGCCAGTTGGAGCAGGCAGCCATTCATCCGTGGAGGCCTCCCCCAGCAGTAACAGGGTGAGGGGGCAGGGAAGCAAGACGTACTTGGGGAAGGGGTGGTGAGGGCAGTGGGGTGACTGGGCTAGATGGAAGTCAGGGGGCCGGGCCCCAAAATGCCCCACTGTAGCTACGGGCCTGTCTCCTGTGCAATGTCTAGTTTAACCCTCAGCCTTTCTCTCAGACTCTTTAACATACCATTGCCACGAAAGGGGGGGGGGATATATATTCCTGAACTTAAAAGTAAAGGCATTTTTTAAAAAGTAGATTATGAAGCTGACGAAGGAAAAGAAAGCCAACTCCAAACCACAAGTCTTCCATTAATCTGTTTCTTTCACTAACCCCTTAGTCCAGTGGTGGCAAACCTATGGCATGGGTGCCAGAGGTGGCACTCAGAGCCCTCTCTGTGGGCGCGCATGCCATCGCCCCAGCCAGGCCCAGACCTTCACTAAACTGTGGAATTCTCTGCCTCTAAAAGGTTCGCCATCTCTGCCTTAGTCCTTACCCTGACTGAAGCAACACAGGGGCAGCTGCGTTTGTCTGCTGCAGCAAAAATAAATAGAAGACTTGTGGCCTCTTAAAAACTAACACTGTTTCATTCCAGCATAAGATTCCCTGGGCTAGAGCCCATTTTTCCAGGTACAATTAGTTACCGGCTCCTCACTAAGCAAGCCTGTTATGTAGGAAGTATGGGCAGGGGAAAGCTACAGCAGGGTCAAGGATACAGGAAGTATGGAATGAAATGTAATTATGTAAAACTGAAATGTTAATCAAGAAAGATTTAGAGATAATTCACTTACTATGCTAAACTGGACACCTGCAATAGGTGGGGAATCCCAGATTTTGCAAAGATAGTCAACACCTTCAGTGTTCCCTCTAAGTTGAGTTAGTGTGAGCTAGCACACAGTTTTTTAGCCTCCAACTCACACATTTTTGTCTTATCTCAGGAAGGATGACTCCAGAGCAAACTAATTTATTCAGTAGCCAAATAGCTTGCTCACAGCTTTAATGCCAGAAGCTCACAAAGTAAAACATTTGCTCACAAGACTCCACAGCTTAGAGGAAGCATTGCCTATGATGTGTGTGTGTGCGTGCACGCACTTGGAAGTCATGGTTGGCTTCTGGCAACCCCTAATAGGGGCTTGGATTTTTTCTGAGAGGTGGCTTGATTAGTCTGCCTCTGTGTCCCACCTCTGGTATTCCTTGAAGGTTGCCCTTCCAAGTACCTGCCATAGTTGGCCCTGCTTAGCTTCTGAGAGCTGATGAGATTGGGTTTCCCTGGGCTGTCCAGGTCAGGGCAATCCTAAATCCTTTTTTGATCCTCTGGGAGAAAATATATGCATTCTCTCTCATTATTACACATACACACACACACACACAGTTTCCCTGCCCTCTCTAAATTTAGGCTGTAAAAGGCTGGGACCAACGTTCCCTCTAAGCTGTCAAAGTACTGCAAACACCGAAGGAGGTATATAATTAATGACAAACAAAAAAAAAGATTAGGCTGGAAAATATCACTTATTGGCTGGGACATAGTTTTAGATTAAGGTTGCAAAGTACTGCAAACACCGAAGGAGGTATATAATTAATGACAAACAAAAAAAAAGATTAGGCTGGAAAATATCACTTATTTTGCAACATTGCCTCTTCTTTCGGTCCACTAAGGCAGAACAGCAAACCTAATGGCACAGTAATGTTCCCTTTTTAAAATGCTGATGCAGCTGCCATAGGATATTATTATCTGTGTTATTAGGTGCCTCCTCTCATACACTAAATGGATACATTAAAATGATAGAAAAAGAGGAATGGAGGAACAGCATATGTTAACTGTCCAAAGTTTACACTGGCCTGCATTAACAACATGGACAGCCAGGATTCAGTCTCTTGGCATCACCAGCCAAAGGCAGATGTCATGATTCAGCAGTGGTCACAGTCTTCACTCATGGTATCAGTTTTGCAACTTGCCATGCACAGGTTGCAACAGGCTGCATTGTTCAGCCCTCACTCTTGTCCCTTCCCTCACGCTTCCGATGGGCTGCCTTTTAAAAGCAAATTCTTAAGAGTAGCTTTTTATGCAATGGTCACTAGCCAATCTGTGCCCTCCAACGCCAGCTTTTCCCTGGTTTGAACCAAACTCAGAGCTCACCCCCAAAAAAGAGGCAAATTTGTACTGAACATACCAAGAATAACTAAACCCCCTACTACAGTGGTGGCAAACCTATGGCACAAGTGCCAGAGGTGGCACTCAGAGCCCTCTCTGTGGGCACATGTGCCATTGTCCCAGCCAGGCCCAGACCATCATTAAAGTGTCGAATTCTCTGCCAAATAATTTTAAGTAAATGAAAGCATTTGGGATTGCT